TTTGGTAAGCCATCGACTTATCGTCACTTACGTATCTTTGGATGCCTCGCATACTACAAGGACACGCATAGCCATCTTGGCAAATTTGATGCACGAGGTCGGGCCGGCGTGTTCCTTGGCTATGCCACTTCTCAAAAGGTTTATCGTATATACGATTTACTTGCCCGTCGTGTCATCACTTCTCGGGACGTCCAATTCCATGAGAAGAACTTTCCTATCCAAGATGGCATGCAGTGGTAACTTCACTGGATCCTTCAGCCGACTTTTCTATTGGATTCTGGCCTTTAGCATTCTGTTTGGCAGGTAGGGAGGCTGAATGATGATCATGCCTCACCTTTTCATGAACAATCTCCTCAAGCAGAGACGTTGGGGCCAAGTGAAGAGGCCACGTCGCCCAGCTTGCGTGATGACTCAATAATGGAGCATGAGGTCCCGCATCACGAGGTCCTTACCCAGTATGGAGGTTCCTCGGATTCCCATGGAGAGAACACGAGTTCTCGACCCCTCATCAACTCCTCAATAAGAGGTCACACCTCCCGCTCTAGATTCAGCTGCCGCCGCGCCTCTTCTTCGCTGCGGTGATCGAGCGTAAATACGGTCAAAGTACTTGGCCGACTATGATGCTGATCTGATGGGAAATAAAGGAAGCACTCATCCTCCCGTTACTTATCCACTATCCTCATTTGTTTCATATGATGGTTTTAAATGAGAATATTGTGCTTTCCTCGCAGCTGTTACACGAGGTGAAGTGCCTACCACTTTTCTTCAGGTGATGCGTGACCCAAGACGGCGCGCTGCCATGGCAAAGGAAATCGAGGCATTAGAAGCCAATGGAACATGGAGTTTGGTTTCACTACCACAAGGAAAGCGTGTTATTGCGTCCAAATGGGTCTACAAGATTAAGTACTATCCGGATGACAACATTGAGCGCTTCAAGGCGCGCTTGGTAGCAAAAGGGTATACTCAAATAGAGGGGCTGGATTTTCACGATACCTTCGCATCTGTCGCGAAGTTGGTAACGATCTGATGTCTCATTTGTGTCGCAGTTAGCAAGAGTTGGCATCTACATCAACTAGATGTCAACAATCCGTTTCTCCACGGGGATCTTGATGAGGAAGTCTACATGGAAATTCCATAGGGATTCCGGCAGCCAGGAGAGACACGTGTTTGTCGTCTCCACAAGTCCTTGTATGTGCTAAAGCTTGCCTCCCGTAATTGGTACCAGAAATTTACGACGACATTGAGCGAGTTCGAATTTAGTTGCTCACCAGCTGATGGTTCTTTGTTTATCTATCAGCGGGGGAGCACTTTTGTCGCGACTCTCATATATGTTGACGACGTTATACTGACAGGGAATGATCTCCCGTTTATCTCACGAGTCAAGGCTTTTCTCGATAGCATGTTCAGTATAAAAGATCTGGGCCAGCTTCGTTATTTCTTGGGCATTGGAATAGCTTGTATCGCTGACGGTGTGGTTCTTAGTCAGCGAAAGTATGTTCTTGACATACTGAAAGATGCTGGTACTTTGGGCACTCGTCCAAGCCCCTTTCCTGGTGAGCAGAACCACCAGCTTACTCGCATTGTTGATGATGTTTTACCGGATCCCTCGCTTTATCTGCGACTGGTCGGCCGGTTGTTGTATCTCACTATCACTCGACCGGATATCACCTATGCAGTCAACATTTTGAGTCGGTTTGTTCAAGCACTTAGTCAGATGCACATGGATGCTGCATATCAGGTTCTCCTCTACCTTAAGTCCAGTCCAGGTCAAGGTATCTTCTTTCCTTCTTCTAATTCACTGCAACTCACCGCTTACTGTGATGCAGACTGGGGAGGATGTCAGAGTACTCAACGCTCCACGACAGGTTACTTCATTACCCTAGGGGGTGCACCCATTTCTTGGAGAGCTAAACAGCAACAGGTTGTTGCCTGGTCGTCCGTCGAAGTAGAATACCGTGCATTGGATAGCACGGTCAGTGAACTTGTCTGGCTTCGATGGCTTCTTAGTGAGCTTGGTGTGCCACAGAATAGACCGACTCCTCTTCATTGTGACAATCAAGCAGCCCTTCACATATCTAACAATTCAGTCTTCCACGAGCGTACCAAGCACGTCGAGATGGATTGTTACTTTGTTTGAGAACGAGTTCAAGCTGGTCATATCCTTCCAGACAAAGTCAGCTCAGAACTCCAGCTCGCAGATTTACTTACCAAGGGACTTGGGGCGGATCATTTCAGGTTTCTCTTGTCCAAGCTGAGCATTCGCGATCTGCATGCTCCAGCTTGCGGGGGAGTATTGGGCCGAGACTTGGTGACTAGCGCATGTAGCCCACACGAGATGCATGCAGCCCATGCACGGACAAAGCCCACGTCCGCATCGGCCACTTATCTCGTGGTCTCCTGCACAAACTCTGTAACCTTAGATGGTGATTGTAACATAGGGTATAAAGAGACGGCTTGTTATACCAAGCCGATCAATCAATCAATAAAGAGATAGTGTGTTTCCCGTGGATGTAAGTCTCACACAACGTGAGGAAGAACCACGTAAATCAAAGTCTCGTTTATATTTCCGCGCTATTTTACATACAAAGGAGCGAATACGAAGAAAATCCACACTAAAACTACTATGGATACATAGAAAATAGGGGAAATCCCCTCCTCCCACCATGATCTCAAATGAAATATCAGCTTAAGTTCTTCAAAAGGTACTATTGGAGTGTTGGCGAATAATTAGTTAACTGGATCTTCAATATAAATGACATGCTACTTATTATTAAGTGTATGCTTACTATAGTTCAATTGGCTCGCTGTCAATAAATTCTGCAAACATTTTTAGCCTCGTTGCTAATGGCTAGCGAATAAATTAACATATTACATGAACTTGTTAAAGTTATGATGCATAAATGTGTTTGTTAAAATATCATTTTATCAACAGATTAATAAGGCCATCCGCCCCTTCTTACGTATATTGGGCTTTTGTACAAAAGTTTAATTTCCAATGGATATTGAAGTTTGGGTTGTTTACTATTTGGGCTTCTATCATAGGTGGCAAACGAACCTCGCAGAAGATAAGGATCTGGAGTACTAAGGCTCGCTAAAGCCCAATATTTCTCTAACCCAACATCAATTCCCTCGGCCCGCCATCTGCATGTATGCCTTACCCAATATTGTCCATCAAGAATCGGCCTTTGATTCTTTTACTGTTTGCCTTTTTTGCCTTGTACACTAATCGTTGGATGAATGTTTTTGCTTAATAAAAACTAGTGTTTGAAAAAATGGTACCTTATCGGCTGTCCTGAAAACTGAAAACTCGTCTATGAAGTCCATTCGGTAGGTAATTTTAATGGTACGTAATGGTTGAGTTACGTGACATTTTGACACATATTAATGTGTTCTTCGTCATTAATATGTTTGCTCGCGCTAATTATTGTTGTCCGTGAGAATCAATGACGGTATCTTTGATACACTTGCTAATACAACTACAAATACTCTGCCGTACCAATGACGTTTTTTTTCCGTTGAATCAGTTCCCCTCTTTATTAATATGAAAAGAAAAACCAATACAACGAGGCAAAGCAGTAACGCTTTGAGTAATGTCAAAAACCCTGCTCACTCCTACTCAACCTGTAACTGCTCACTCAGCTACTCAAAAACAAGCAACAAGCAAAGAAAAATCAAAGATATCCCAAACTCTCAAGATCCCCCTGCAGCATGGCATTCCCAGCCACCAGGTATCGCAGATCCGCTTGCAGCTGGGTAGCAACCTTTTCTGGGTCTGGCAGAGCACCACCATGTACAACTCTGCAACGCTCACGCCAAATGCACGTCAACACCATACACCACACAACTCCATGTCATCACAATTTCCCTGAGGGCTGAACCAAAGAGCAGACAGCAGCCATCATTGCGTCCCAGCCTCCTGCTTCAAACAATCGACAGTGCAAATTCAAGACAAGCAGATGAGCAAAAGAGCAATGCATAAACAGGTGCTCTCTCGTTTCCATCGGGAAAGTGCACAATGGGCAAGAGGCAATAGTTATCTTCCTCTAGCTCAGAAGTTTGTCCCTCGTCACTATTCCATTTCTTATAATAAGCCAAGCAATGAAGCTATAGCGAGGAGGACAGAACCTATTCCAGACGAGCTTACACCACGGTACCTCTGGCTGCTTGGCACGCAAGGAATCCCAGACTAATCGAACAAAGTACACCTTCATTAGTTTCATTCCCCAGTAAACCTCACCATTTCTCTGCTGTATCCATGGCCTGATCTGATCCCTGATTTTGAGCAGCCTCCTCCATGTCCAGGAGCTGTTGTACTGTGGCTTCATCGACCATAAATCTAACTGCTTGCAATGACGTTTCCGGTACATATGGAATAGCCTTTTAACATTACCATATTTATTGTGACAAATAAAATGTAAAGATAATGACTTAATGAAAAATGAAAGTCACATTTCATACGAGCTTCGTCGTACAGCCACGTATACAAAAATATAATATATGCACGTAAAAGACAAAATTGTTATTTGTGAACGAGGATTTTAATTGATCAATGAGATCTGATTATTCTGGATCTAATTAATTAATTAATTGATCTATAGGCTGAAAATGAAAGAAGTAATTACCAAAAAGATGATTAAAAAGACCAGGTCAAACGGAAGACTTTTCTGTCCGGCCCTGGCCACCTTTTGGAACTGTCGTGACTGCTACTCTGCTAATCCCGATGATAATGACAGCACTGCTCTAATGTTAATCCGTTCAAAATGTCCATAGAGATATTATCAACTAGTCAACTACTCGATTTGTAATAATAATTTTATTTCTAGAGCATTAAACTTTTCAAGCTAACTAAGCAATGGGTTATTGGGATATTTCTAGAGATTGATCAATTTAAATTTCTCCAACTTCAAATATAAACACATGTCAGCCCCTAGCACGAAAACAACAAATTTAGGGGTAAATTGCAAGTTTGATCACTTGAATTACTAGTAAAGTTCATGTTAGCCACTAGAATTAGTTTATTTCATCAATAGTCACTTAAATTAGTTACACAGTTCAAGTTTGGTCACTCTCCGTTACCTTCCGTCAGTTAACTGCTGACGTGGCTAACAAATATGCCTAATCACCCAATTTAAACAAACAAAAAATTAAAAATCGGTCTGCCACGTCATTATGTCCCAGTCACATAAGATATCCAAATCGAACCGAACCCGTGACCCACCCACCCTTCTTCTTCTTCCTCTATTCATTCCGTCTCTTCCTCATCTTCCACCGCCGGCCACCACCGCAATTCTCAATTCCGACAGAATACCCGCCACCCTGATCCATCTTCCCCATAGCTCTTTCTCTCTTTCTTTCTCCCAAACAAATTGACATTGAAAGTCTTAGCTACAACCAGAGCAAGCAAAGCTTCTTCCTCCTTCCTACCCCAGCTCTGCCAACAACACTAGGATCGAACCTCCATCTTATTCCGACAAGACAAGGAAGAAATCAATTTCTTCCTACGTCGTCGTCGCCAGTTGCCACTGTGCCAAATCGACCCATCATAGGTAGCAGAGAAGAAGGTCGGGATCATTTCTAGCTTGGGGATCTTGCCTAACCACAATTTCAATCCTTAGACCTGGACACGAAATCGAAGAATCGAAGCTTCTCGACAGTCTGTTAGAGGATATATCGGCGGAAAGAGGTGGGTCGGCCTTGAGCGGCACTCCGCCTGGACGCACAAACCTTCGCTCTGGCGAAATCCCATCCAATCTCCAGAACTCAAAGCTCAACAAGCTCGATTTCTCGAACAATAAGCTCTCCAACGAGATTCCAACGAGTCCCCCTTGTCGGAGTTGTATGGTTCTACTTCAAGTACAGTAACATCAAGTCCCCTGTCGACGACTTTCGTTCAATAAAAAAATTGAAATGGACGTTGATGTCATTCCACGAGCTCGGATTCAGCGATACGAGATCCCCAGAAGAGATTCAACTTGTTTAGCTTCTTCCATGAATCAATCCCAGACCGGAGCTCGCTAGAGAGAAGATGAGGGAGGGAATGGAGGAAACAGAGCAATGGCCGAAGAGAGAGAGAGAGAGGTAGAAGGCAGGGGATAAACAGAACGCAGAGGAGACGGAGCAGAAGGGAAATTGGGGATACTATTGGGGGGGTCGGAAGGGGTTTTGATTTGGGTTCATTGTTTTGTTTAGGTCCGGTGGGTTGAATTGGGTTTATATGAGGTGGCGGGTTTTTTTGACGTGACATGTCGGTTTCTGTTTTTTCTTGGTTTAAAATTGAGTGAGTCAGCATATCTGTTAGCCACGTTAGCATTAACTAACGGAACTGACGGATTTTGACGAAAGGTAACAGAGAGTGACCAAACTTGAATTGTGTAACTAATCTAAGTGACTACGAATGGAATAAAGTAATTCTAGTGGCTAACATGAACTTTACTATTAATTCAAGCGACCAAACTTGTAATTTAGCCACAAATTTAGCTATGACCTTCCTCATCCGCAACCGCGACTGATAATCATCTTGATTCCAACATTTTTTTTAAATGATGGTCCTTTCTTTTATATATCCATCCGATCCAGGAAACATAACAGAGAGGATTACAGTAGGTGGGGAATAAGATTCAGAACAGTAATCCAATTAGTGGGGAGTTCATCTGTAACAAAAGAACGTGCCACCCAGTCTGTTTTATTATTATTATTGTCAATCAAACCTTGCGGATGACATAGATAGACGTAAGGAAATGCCACAACAATTACGGCATAGCCTCACAGGACTTAAAGACATAACATGTACGAAAAATCATATAATCCAGTATATAGGTCAGGTTAGCGTAAGGCATTTTGCGCCACCAAATGGACTGCCTGATTCGCTTACAAATTGCACGGCAGGAAAAAGACGAAGAAGATGAATGATCTCTCACAACACGGCTCCCCCATATGCATCGCACACGAACCGGGTCGCCAAACACATCACCACTGACTTGGCATCACCCGTGATGAGAATTGGTATGGTATACCACCGCCAACTGTGGAGAAAATACGAGCTTCCCGGAATGCCAATAGTTCCACAAGAAAAGGTTCAACGATCCCGACAAGTAACTCCCAAAAGCAAAGCTAGGCATGGAGTCATGAAATCCAACAACGCCAATAGCACCACCGTCCACCAAGGAGGAATCTAGTCGCGCCGTCAACCGCAACACGAAGGTCGCGAGAAGGAAGTGAAGGAGGCCGTTGACGGGAGTGGGGGCGCGGATGCTGGTCGACCGGAGGAAGATGGAAGTCAGCAATAGCAGCCATTTGGAGATCAGCTTGATGAGAAAGGAATTGGCCGTGGAGGAGTGGGATTGAAAACTGAGCATGTGGTAGGAAGACGACATTGTTACGTCCTTTCCACCCAGTCTGCTTTTGAGTTGAGCATACATCTGAAAAATGTAATTTTGATGTGACTAGAATGTCAAATGATACTAGAGATGATCCCCAGCCAGGCCGAGACTTGCCATGGCCAAGCAGGAGGGTCAGAAGCCAATGCCAGTACCAGAGACATGCAATCAGTTTTGATAAAGCTTAGGCCCGAGAGAGACTCGTCCAGTCGGACATCTTCCAGCTCTGGCTTCTGCTTCAATGAGGGATGAACACATGACAGGTCCAACTCTCCCATCACAATGCAAATTACTCCATGGTTGTCAAGCACAATGACACCATAAGTCGCCTTCTGGGGGTCACAAATAAAGGACCCATCACAGTGTACCTCAAAGGGAGGATATCTCGGCGGTGAAGATTATTGGATCAGGGATGTCCTTGGTTAATGGGGAGGTGGGTTTCGAATTCTAGGAAGGAGAGGATTTTCAACCGGTGCGTTTGGATACGTGTATTTCAAATTTATTGTTTGGATACTCATTTGTAATTTGTTTGTATTTTAATTTTTGGTCACTTACTACAAATTTTTGTAAATTACAGTTTGGTACCCAAAAATATTTTTCTTACAATTTAGTACCTAAACTTTTAAAATTTAAGAAAAGATCCAGAAAATATGATGGTAAAATTACATTTTGGTACCTTTATATGTTTTGCCACACACTATAGTACCTGAACTTTTAATATTTTACAAATTGGTCCAATCTTTTGTCAAGACTTAGGAGGTATTTCAAATCACTAGTTGTTGAAATGTATTTGAAGTTGACAAGTAATGCACTAGACATGTATTTGGAAATCATCCCACGAATTTGGCACAAATCCAAATACCAAATATAATTAATATCCAAACACATGATTTGACATTTAAAAATCCAAATTACAAATACCAAATCCAAATCATTATATCCAAACACAATCTAATTTATAGCACCTACATATCATCCGCACCAGTAAGATCATTAAGCGTTTGGTTGCCTCTTGTTGAAACTTTGGGATTTTTGTGTGCTTTCGTTTATATATAAACTCCCAACATGTATCTATTAGAGAGTTGTTTAAGATCTAACATAACCTTCTCCTAACAATTTGAGTTATTGGGACCAACTGGTTTATGACATGGTATCAGAACTGGTTTGTCTGTGAGGTCACGTGTTCAAGTGGGCCTGTGCAAACTTCAAGCCTGTGAGTTGACTTTCGTTTGAGGGGGCGTGTTAGAGATGTCAAGAACCAGTTGATCCCAATAACTCGAGTTGTTGGAAAAGGTTCAATCGTGGATCATATATACCATTTACTAACAAGAGAGTATATAAGATCCAACATAACATTCTCCCAACAACTCGAATTATTGAGACCAAGGAGTTTATGTCTTTATGACAATATCTTTGTATACTCTTGATCTGATGACTGATATCGTTCGACTTCCATTTCCTCTATATAAGAAAAAATCATCAGCTTGCCCCCTCCACCATTACAGCAAACAGTACCTTGATCGGCCGACATGCATCTCATATAATTTTCTGGACAAGTTGGATACGTAACAGCAACAGTAGCTTTCTAACCTTTCAACATGCTTTGACGTTACGTATGTAACTGTTTCCTCTTTTGAACAATTTGCATGAAAATTCATAGCTATGGTCACCTCTCTCGTGATAACATATGCTTTCGTTTTCTTTCAGTCATGATCGCAAGTGGAAATTAAAGCGCGTTTAAGTGTGAAAAGAGTTGCTAATTTTGGCTGCGTCAACTAATCTAAAATAATGTAATTTAAATGACCCCAGGCCGAGAGAGAGATTAGTGAAAGTCATAATCATGATGGCTGTCTCGTCGTGGTCCGTTTTTCAGTTGTTTGTCGTTATTAATTACGACGTTTATGTTTTAATTAAGGCCCCCTCCCCTCAACAGATACAAAAAAAACCACGTATGCTATCATTGCAACACGTGTTCCCCATATAATAATCAATAAATGGAAAAAGGCTAGCTTGGGTTCTTGATTATGATTGCAGAATAATTGAGTTCAGTGTTAACTTACAAGCTAAAGAAGAACCGTTGAAGTTTTGAAGTAAAAAAAAAAAAGAGAGAGTGATAAAATAGCTTGGGAGAGGGGTTAAGGCATTATTGATAAGTTAATTTCAAATTTGTTACTAATTTTACAAGTAATTTTATCTATATTTCAAATTTAAGGGGTTATAGCCTCTCGTGGCTTCAACCTACCTCCACGGCGGATAACTTAAGTTTAATAGTTGTAACTAGCGTCGGGATGGTTTGACAAACATGCAATCAACCTATTGATTTTCAAAATACATGTTTTCTGGGGCTGTATTGTTTTTCATGTTTCATTTTTCTACCAACATATGTATTCCATAATTAATTTTGCGAACCAAACACGATATTCTTACATTTTATAAACTTTTGCCATTCCACTAGTAGAATACACAAGTTCTTGAAATTTATGTTTTCCGGACGACTTAAATCATGTACATCCACCATGCGTTTCATACTCAATCTTCTAATTGTTGTAAAAAGTAACTTTTTGCTTTTATACCAGAACTCGATCACATCAACGATTGATCATATTGTTGTCTTGGTATCATAATTGGGGGTACGCGGTTTGTTTTGGATTGGTACAATATTGAATAAATTTTCTATATTTAAGTAATGTCAAAGTTAATGAATTGCGCAAAGGAATTATTATAGAGGAATTTTACAATGTTATATAACATTAATGTTGTTGATGTGACTTGTTTCCTTTGTCAGATTGGATTAGGTAGACCCACATGGAGAAGTACTATAAATACTTCTCATACTCCTCTGTAATCTGTAATCTCCTTGATATAGTGAAACTGGCTCTCTCTCGCCCGTGGACTAGCTAACACACATCGTGTTAGTGAACCACGTAAGTCGTGTGTCTGTGTTTTTCGATTCTCGCTTTTGTATTCTTGTTTTATCGATTCCGGCGATTTCCCGATCCGTAGCTGCGCGTTTATAACAAGTGGTGTCAGAGCCGCGGCTGAAAATCAGGCTAGGGTTTTCGATTCAGAAGAATGACGTCGATGAACATGAAGATCGAAAAGTTCACGGGGAAGAACAGCTTCGCTATATGGCAGATCAAGATGCAGGCTTTATTAAAACAGCAAGGGCTATGGGGGCCGCTGTCTGCGAAACAGAAGAAGGCAGCGGTCGATGACGATGAGTGGAATACCCTGGAGGAGAAGACCCACTCGACCATCATGTTATCGTTGTCTGATGACGTCATCATTGAAGTCGCTGCTGAGAAGACTGCCGCGGGCTTGTGGTTGAAACTGGAGAGTCTGTATATGACGAAGTCTCTAACCAACAAGCTGCATCTCAAGCAACGGTTGTTCAGCTTGAGGATGCAAGAAGGTACGCCTTTGAGGGAACATATCGAACAACTTAACTCTATTTGCTGGATCTGCGTAATATGGATGTTCAAGTTGATGACGAGGATGCTGCCCTAATCTTGATGGTTTCTTTGCAAGTTCATATGAGAATTTCTTTGATTCTTTTATTGCCGGTAAAGAAAGCGTGTCGTTGGAGGATGTCAGGTCTGCTCTTCATATGAGAGAGATCAGGCATAAGGCGTCCGGATCTGGTACAGGTGGTGAGGCATCGGGTTTGACTGTTACAGGTGGAAAGGGAAAGAAGAAATCTAGTAAAGGGAATTCGAACAAGAATTCCAAGGGTCTCGGTCCACAACCAGGTGATGCTTATCACAACTATAAGGAAGTGAGACATTGGAAGTACAACTGTCCCAGGAGAAGAGGGCAACAGAAGAAACAAGGTTTAGTTCTCGTGGCAGAAGTGGACAACAGTTCTGAAGACGATCTCGCATTGGCTGTAGATAAGAAGACACATCGTGGGGATGTGTGGTTTCTGGATACTGCAGCCTCATACCATATGTCTCTGAACAGGGATTGCTTCACAAATCACAACCTACGAGCATATAGATGGTGGTAACGTGGTCATGGCAAATGGAGCTGTCTGCAAGGTTATTGGAATTGAGTCCATAAAGGTTTGGGCACATAATGGTTCGTTCTGTACCGTGAATGATGTCAGACATGTTCCACGAATGACAAAGAACCTGATCTCCTTGAGTCTACTCGAAAGCAAGGGTTTCAGCTTCAAAGGAAAATGTGGAGTTGTGTATGTCTGCAAAGGTTCAAGGAAGGTGCTGAAGGGCGTAAGCGTGGGACCTTGTATGCATTACAAGGGTCTGTGTTGTCTGGTTCTGCTGCAGTTGCATCGTCTCAGGTTCAACAGGAAGATATGACCACTCTTTGGCACATGAGACTGGGGCATATGAGAGAACGGGGGATGCAAGTTCTATCAAAGAGGGATCTTTTTTGTGGGCACAAGGTGCATAATTTGGAATTCTGTGAGCATTGTGTGTTTGGGAAGCTACATCGCAGCAAGTTTCCCAAGAAGGTTATCCACCGAACGAAGGGGATACTGGATTACCTCAACTCCGACCGTTGGGGTCCTTCACGAGTTGAATCCATTGGAGGCAGCATGTATTTTCTGTCTATTATTGATGATTATTCGAGATTTACTTGGATTTTCATGATGAAGCAGAAAAGTGAGGCTTTCACGAAGTTCAAGCAGTGGAAGACATTGGTGGAGAATCAGACCGGGAAGAAGATCAAGAAGCTGCGAACAGACAATAGTCTGGAGTTCTGTAATTCTGAGTTCAACGAATTCTGCAAGGATGAAGGGATTGCCCGTCATCGGACTGTGAGAGATACACACCAACAAAATGGCATTGCAGAAAGGATGAACCAGACAATTTTGGAGAGAGCACGGTGCATGCTCTCTAATGCTGGACTAGAGAGAAGATTCTGGGCAGAAGCAGTGAACATGGCATGCTTCCTGATCAACCGTGGACCTCACATAGGTATCGAGTTTAAGACTCCTTATGAGGTGTGGTATGGTAAGCCTGCCGATTACTTTTCACTGAAAGTTTTTGGGTGTCCTGTTTATTATCATGTGGATGAGGGTAAACTAAACCCAAGGGCAAAGAAGGGTGTATTTGTGGGTTACGGAGATGGAGTTAAGGAATTTCGAGTCTGGTCACCTTCTGAGCATCGAGTTATACTCAGTAAAATGTGATATTTGATGAGAAGTCTATGTTTAACCCCATGTTGAAGGTTACTGTTGTTGAAGGTAGAAGGAATGTTGATAAGTAGGTGGAGCTGCAAACTCTCAATGAGAGCGAGTTTGAGCACTAAGGTGGAGAAGATCAACATGAGGATGTTTCTACAGAGCCATAAACTTCAAAGTCCAGTGCAGGAGCTCAACAGTCTGTAGCTTCCGGTAGACCAAAGAGAGCGACTACAGGAGTACCTCCAGATAGAGGTGGAAATCGGTACGGTATCGGTATCCCAATACCAAATACCGAAATCCGAAATATCGAATTACACCCTAAAATCAATCACAATCCCTAACTAATTTCGGTATCCCAATCCCAATCCCTAAATATTTCAATATCTCAATCGGTACCTCGGTATCCTAATCGGTATTATCAAATACAAAATTAATTAGCTTTATAATTAATAATTAAATATATAAATTAGATTTTATTGTTTAATTTAGGGCAAAATGACTAAGCAAAGAGTCTTGAGTTGCCTAGAGCTAATATCTCTAGTTCTTGTAATTGGTAATCTTTAATTTGACAAATTTGAGGTCGAGAGATGACTAATACTAGTGTGAAATAGTGATGGAATGATCTATGTATAATTAAAAGACACTCTTGGTAGTTGAGGGTCGCCTAGTAGTGAATGAGAGAGTCTAGTTCAAAGGATAAATTACGCACTAGCTTATATTTCGGTATTGATCGGTATTTCGGTATATCCCGATCCTAATCCCGTAATCCCTAATACCGAATAACAATTGAAATTCAATCTCAATGCCAATCCCACAAAATAATACGTATATTTGGTAATACCAAATATAGACAAATTCGGTACGGTATTCGGTATATCCCAATTACCGATACCAAACATCCAGCCATACCTCCAGAGAGGTATGGTTTCGAGGACATGGTGGCGTATTCATTTCAGGTTGCTGAAGAAGTGGATGCAGGTGGGCCACAATCCTATAGAGAAGCTGTTTCGGGTGGCGAAGCTGATTAGTGGCTTGCCGCAATGGGAGATGAGATGGAAACCCATGACAGAAATCAGACTTGGGAGCTAGTCAAACGACCACAGGGAAGGAAGATTGTTACAAACAAGTGGATCTACAAGAAGAAGGAAGGAATCACTTCTAAAGAGGGCATGAAATTTAAAGCTCGGGTGGTTGCACGAGGCTTCTCGCAGAGGGAAGGAGTTGACTGCAATGAGATTTTCGCACCAGTGTTCAGACATACTTCGGTCAGAGTGCTACCAGCAATAGTGGCACATTATAATTTGGAGCTCGAGCAGCTAGACGTGAAGACAACTTTCCTACATGGAGAGTTGGAGGAAGAAATTTACATGACTCAGCCAGAAGGATTCCAGGTTCCGGGAAAAGAAGACTATGTTTGTAAGCTGAAGAAGTCCTTGTATGGAGTTAAGTAGTCTCCGAGGCAGTGGTACAAGAGATTTGACAGTTACATGCTTGAGATGGGCTATAGCAGAAGTCCATATGATTGTTGTGTGTATCACAACAAGGTGGAGGATGGTTCGATGATCTATCTTGTTCTGTATGTGGATGATATGCTCATAGCGCGAGGTCGAAGTATGATATCCAGAAGTTAAATGGGCTTCTCAGTGCTGAGTTTGAGATGAAGGATTTGGGAGTTTCTTAGAAGATCTTGGATATGGAGATTTACAGGGACAGGTCAAAGAAGAAGCTTTTCTTGTCACAGAAGAGCTACATCCAGAAGATACTTGCGAGGTTTGACATGTCTTCAGCAAAGCCCTTAAATACTCCTAGTGCTTCAAATGTTCATATATCCTCAGTTTATGCACCGCAGTCAGAGGCTCAGAAGAAGTACATGTCAAGAGTCCCATATGCTAATGCAGTAGGTAGCTTTATGTACGCTATGGTATGCACTAGACCTGATCTTGCACATGTTATTAGTGTTGTCAGCAGGTTCATGATACAACCTGGGAAGGAGCATTGGCAGGCTGTGAAGAGGATCTTCTGGTACCTTAAGGGTACACCTGATGTGGGGATTAGCTTCAGAAGTGATACAGAGTGCTTGGTGTCTGGGTATTCTGACTCGGATTATGCTGGAGATGTTGACACGAGGATATCGATGACCTGTTATGTATTCACTCTTGGGAGTTCTGTAGTGAGCTGGAAGGCAACTCTGCAGTCGGCGGTGACATTGTCTACAACCGAGGCAGAGTATATGGGGTTGACAGAAGCTGCTAAGGAGGGAATATGGTTGAAGGGACTGGTTGGTGATCTGGGTCTACATCATGATCAGGCAGTGGTGTATTGCGACAGTTTGAGTGCAATATGCTTGGCCAAGGATCAAGTCCATCATGAGAGGACTAAGCACATCGATGTGAGGTATCATTTCTTGAGGACAGAGAAGAGGATTAAGGTGAAGAAGGTTGGCACCGCGGATAATCCTGCTGATATGTTCACGAAGCCGGTTCCACATGGCAAGTTCCAACACTGCTTGGACTTGCTGAATGTCTTGAGTGGGTGACTCCGCCCTACGGGGCATTGATGGCGGGAGAGATAGAGAAGGAGCAGAGTACATCAGATATTTCAGAGGAAGATGATTCAAGTCAAGGTTGAGATTTGTTGAAGTGACTTGAATCAGACTATCAGCCGCTACGACTGGTAGTCGGGGGTCTCGCTGTTATTTGGGTTCGGGTTCTGGGCCTGGTCTGTAACTGTTTCCTTTGCCAGATTGGATTAGGTTTAGACCCACATGGAGAAGTATTATAAATACTTTTCATACTTCTCTGTAATCTGTAATCTCCTCGATATAGTGAAACTGGCTCTCTCTCGCCCGTGGACTAGCTAACACACATCGTTTTAGTGAACCCCGTAAATGGTGTGTCTGTGTTTTTCGATTCTCGATTTCGTATTCTTGCTTTATCGATTCCGGCAATTTCCCGATCCGTAGCTGCGCGTTTATAACAGATGCTATGAGTTTTTGCCTTTATGGTACAACCTTAACGTTATAGTATAACTTCAGATTGTACCTACACTCTTTTGTACAAATTCTGTTATGGTACAATTTGAACTTGTACTTTTATGTGATGAAGTTGTACGTACCATAACATAAAGGTACAAATTCATTTATGGCACAACCTTATAAATTTAGTGTTATGGTACAACATTAAATTGTAACATTAAAACATCAATGCTTTATAACATAGTAAAAGTGCGGATTATTACGGGGTATTTTTGGAATAATGAATTATAGATATAAATTTGTTTCGGCTTACAAAATAAGTTATAAGTCGAACAGAAAAGTCCAAACATACAAGCCGTCGGGAAGATAGTCGCCGGGAAAAAGAAAAGGAGAGTGCGTGGGCTCCGCCGGGGAATGATTTCAAGGCCCATTTGGCGAAGCAACCAGACGCTCGAGGTTTGCCGACGAAGCATTAAACTTTAACAAGATTTTGTGTGGAAAAAAACTTGAAGAAAATTTGGTTGCTTATTAATACTCGAAAAGTCACATTAACAGCTGCTGGTTCAATATTAATTAAGTTTCATCTACCTTGTATATATAGTTTTAAATGTTTGAACTAAGTTGCAGTGAACGTTGTCATCTCTATATTACTATTAGGTCAATCTCTTAGGATTTTTTTAATATTTATTCCCTACAAAATTGATATTTTCTTTGTGAATAGCTATATCGTGTAAGTGCCTCAGATAGTAGTTTGTTATTTAGTAAAAACCTATACAGAATGTTTAGCATGACACCTAAGATGCATGTGTTCTTAAACGCTCATCTTTGTTGACAAAGAGTCACATGGCTGAAAACAGTCAATAAACAAAATCAAGCCCTATTAAAGAAGGCAACATCGAAAAGGCTTTTTTTGCCACAAAATGGACAACCCTGTTACAAGTCCGACCAACAAAGCAAATGTCAAACACCTGGAACGAATATCTCAAACTTCTAATCTCTTCCAAGATCTTGCCACCTAGAACATCGTCGACCTAGCCCTCCCAGATCCTTCTAATTACTACTTTGGCATCACCAGCAAAGATGACTGAATGTAATCCACGTACCAAACACCAACATATCGTATCAAGGAAGGTCAACATCTCCACCAGAGACGGATCTGAAATCTTCACATACAAGCGAAGCTTTCAAGTTACTTGTTTTGGAACATTTTTTTCATAGGGTGTATATTTTTTAGGCAAAATTCACTTGCATAGCCATAACTATCGATTTTGTGACAATAATAGCCAATTTATGAGAAATACACAAAATGTCCAGATTTTAGAAACATATTTGACAAATTTAGCCATTTTTGTTAAAAACTTTAACGCCGTTAAAAATTCCGTCAATTACATCAACAAGAAGTCGACGAGGAAGCTACGTGGCAGAAACAAAATTAAACAAAACTTTGGAAGCTTCAAATCCAAGTCGAGAGAAACAAATCTACACCTAAGGCTAACTAAGATCGAATCCACATAAAAAGATACGAACTTTAAATAAATTACCCAGTATAACAAATTGCACAAAATCAAAAGTAATCAAACAACAACATGAATCAGATTGATTTAGAACAAAGGAAAGAAAAAACAAAGTCTCTTTACTCTTTACTCTTTAGTCACTGGCTGGCTGGCTGCCCACTGTTGCCAGCCTTTTTTTAAAGCCGGTCAAAGCCAGGCCACCCACCCACTTCCACTACCCACCATTTTCCTTCTCCTTCCTGTTGCTTCTTCCTCTGCGAGTCCTAATTCGACCCAGATTGGCCAAGGTAAATTAAAGCAGAAAAAAGGGGTGGAAAAACAGAGGAAGGGCCGCTGGGTTTTCATTAAAAGCTATCTCTCCGGCGAGGAAGAAAGAGCAAACTGAAAGCGACTCGGCATACAGTGACTCTCTCGGCGGTTGGTTGGAAGGAAGGAAGTCATTTATCTCGCCCCGCACCACTTCCACCATTAATGCCCTTCTTCTTCTTCATCAATTTGTCATCCATACTCTGTTTTTTCACCCTTTTTCCCTTTTGTGGGAATTGGGTGGTGGCCTTGTTTTTTATTTTTTGGGGATTGAGATTGAGTTGAGACAGCCTGGGATGGCATTAAATGCTGAGAAGCATTTGTTTATGGGAAGGGAACAGAGGTAGAAGAAGCAGCTTAGTCGTAGAAGAAGCAACAGAGTAACAACAACGGCTAACTGTGGGAAGGAAGAAAAACAGAGTATTGTAGAAAACAATTGCATCGATTGCAGAATCAAAGCTCGTGATTGGAGGTGAGAATGTTGCAATCTGTGAGGAAAAGGGTTTATTTTAGTTTATTTTGTTCGTATAATTAATTGAATAATAAAAAATAAAAAAAATAATTCCCCGATGCCTCCCTTTTTCAGTTTTCCCCCTTCAGACTTTTCCTTTTTGTTGGGTTTTCAGAGAGGAGCTAAATAAAGCCAGCTAAAGAAGAGCGTTCCCGCCGCCGGCGAATGCGGCCATGAGTAGTCGACTCTGTGATTGAACGGCCGTCCAGATTTTGTTTAAGTGTCTCTCTCTGCTGAAATATTGGGATTGGTATCTTTTTATCTCTGAGCTGAATGGAAGAATGCCGGCGGGGTTTGCTCCGGTTGGTGCTACTGATCTGGGTTTTGATTCGCTGCGCGGCGGCGCAGCAGAGGAGTGTGTTGCTGGGCTCGCCGGTGGAATGGAGGGCGCTGATCGATCTCCGGGGGTCTTTAGGGATCCGAAGCTCCGACTGGCCGATAAAATCCGACCCGTGCGGGAATTGGAAGGGAGTCCAATGCGGCGGCGACGGCCGGGTCACCGGAATCAACGTTTCCGGGTTCAGGAGGACCCGGGTCGGGCGTTTGAAACCCGGGTTCTTCGTCGACGCCATGGCGAATTTCACCTCATTGGAGGTTTTCAACTCTTCCGGATTCGCCCTCCCGGGCTCCATCCCGGGCTGGTTCGGGTCGCAATTCGGGTCGTCGCTCCGAGTTCTTGATCTCCGGGCGAGCTCAGTCACCGGCCCGATTCCGGCGACGCTCGGTGAGTTAACTCAGCTCAATGCTCTCTACCTCTCTGAAAACCAGCTCGCCGGCGCCCTGCCATCTACATTGGGGCAGCTGAGTCGAATGTCAATTCTTGACCTCTCTAGGAATCTGCTTACTGGGTCGATCCCGTCGAGTTTGGCTTCACTCAGGAACTTGTCAAGTCTCAATCTTTCTTCCAATTACTTATCCGGGTCGATTCCACCCGGATTCGGCAACATTTCAATGCTCGAATCCTTAGATTTATCCGATAACAGTCTCGCCGGTTCAATCCCTGACGATTTTGGTGCATTATCTCAATTGGTTGACCTTGATCTCAGCAAGAACTCACTCTCTGGTTCATTGCCGGATGGATTATCCAAGCTAAACAACTTGCAGAAGATGGTAATTTCGAGTAACCAGCTAGATGGTAGACTGCCTAGTGCATTGTTTGCGTTGCCTGATCTGCAGATTGTGGATGTCTCTGGGAATAACTTCACATGTGATGTGCAGAGCATTAATTTCAATGGCAATGCAGCTGGTTCAGCCGCGTTGAATCTATCGAACAATTTGTTGTATGGAGCTCTATCTTCTCAGTTCGATAACTCTAGTTCCGTTGATCTATCTGGAAACTACATCCAAGGAAAGGTGGTCAATGGTGGAAGAACTCCAAGAAATGTGGTTCTTAGCTTGAACTGCTTAGAGGCAGTTCCTGATCAAAGGAGTTTGGAGGATTGCAGGATGTTTTACTCTCGGAGAGGATTATCTTTCGACGAATTTGGAGCTCCATTACCATCAGCAGAAATCAATCCCCAAAGAACAAGAAGTAAGCAATGGATATACATCTTAGTAGGGGTGGTTGGCGCAATAGGGTTCATCTTGGTCCTGGCTATTGTGATGGTATTGTTTCTCAGGAAGTTTGATAGGAGCCGATCAAGCCTTAGAGGGAGTGCTAACGTAGGACCGGTTCCTGAAGGAGATAATAATAATGATCCTCCATCAGCGGCGAAAGATCTCGCTTTAATATCTGGTATTGGTGAGTCATTCACATATGAACAGCTCAGCAACTTGACAAGTGAGTTTACAGACAAGAATCTGATCAAACATGGTCACTCTGGAGATCTATTCCAAGGCTTCCTCGAAGGAGACAGTCCGATTGTTGTGAAGAGGATCGATTCTCGTTCTGCCAAGAAGGAATTGGTGGAGCTGGAATTTTTCAGCAAGTATTCGCATGCTAGATTGGTGCCTCTTTTAGGGCATTGTTTGGAGAATGAGAATGAGAAGTTTCTGGTGTATAAGTATTTGGTGAATGGAGATTTGGCTAGCTCATTGCACAAGGTTAGCAATGTTGACGAAGAAGATCATTTGAAGTCATTGGATTGGATCACAAGGTTGAAGATAGCTACTGGAGCTGCTGAAGGGCTTTGTTACTTGCACCATGAGTGTAATCCTCCTGTTGTTCATAGGTATTCTATTTCTTTGCAAGAAATCCTGATCAAAAGATAATTTAGCTCACAAGTTATGGTAATACGCTTGACTGCAATTGCTCACTCAGTGCATCTTCTTTTGATATTCTAAAAGGGATGTTCAAGCAAGCAGCATTCTTCTCGACGACAAGTTCGAAGTTCGACTTGGAAGCTTAAGTTCGGTCCACGTCCAGGAAGGCCCAGAATCACACCACAACAAGATCATCACAAGGTTCTTGAGAAAACAAATGTAAGTATTTTCTCGGCTCTTTTCTCCCCTCACCTTCATCTTTGATTGTTCTTTGCTCAATCCGCAACTCAAAACTCTTTGCTTATAACAGATCATCCGAAGCTGGAGGCTCTTCAGGAGGATTAATGGCGACCTGTGCACACGACGTCTACGGCTTCGGTAAGGTCCTCCTAGAGCTAGTAACAGGCAAGCTCGGAATCAGCAACAAATCAGATGATGCCACGATTCGAGATTGGCTCGACCAAACGCTCCCTTACATCAGCATCTACGACAAAGAGCTGGTGACCAAGATCGTCGATCCATCAATGATGGTTGATGAGGACTTGCTCGAAGAGGTTTGGGCCATGGCCATCATTGCCAGGTCATGTTTGAATCCCAAGCCTTCCAAACGTCCTCCCATGAAGTACATTCTCAAAGCATTGGAGAACCCTATGAAAGTAGTAAGGGCAGACAGCTATGGTTCAGGGCGGCTCAGAACGACTTCCTCGAGGAGGTCGTCGTGGAGCAGTGCTTTCTTTGGGAGCTGGCGGCATAGCTCCTCGGAGAATGCCGTAGCAGTTGGTGGATCAAAGCAGCCGGTGAGAATAGGATTTCATAACAGCGGTGGGATTGGGTACAGTAAGAGACTGTCAAATGAGATTTTCCCTGAGCCACTCGAGATTCAAGACATAGAGCGACAAGAGCCAGATTTCGAGCATTGAAAGTGGATCGCTAGAACAGTTTTGCTAAAGCGTACTGATTAATCAATCAATCACACCATTGTTCCGAGATTCTTTAGATTTTTTAAAAGCTTGTTTATGGTTTTTCAGAAACAGGCTGCAAATTCTTTCCACCTCCCACCACTGTAATTGATCATTTTTTCCTAATGCATAGCTTGCAAGTATTGAAATCAAAATGTGTATTTGTTCTACAAAATCTGTCCTTTCCCTCTTGACAAATCCAAAGTACATGAAAGAGACGAACAAAGAAGTACAAAGAGGGTTATTGATAACACCAGACCGATTCCTTTTGAAAGTTTTCAAGAGGAGGTCTTCATCGCCATCTCCGAGGAAGCAGAGCTTCCGTCGGCGTAAACCGGGTGGAGATCATAGCCTTCTTTAGGGACAATGTGAACCCATTTCCGGCCACTGAGCTTGTGAGTCTCGAACTTGACATTTCCTTCCTTCAATGCAAACAGAGTGTGATCTCTTCCGATTCCAACGTAATTTCCAGGATGAAATCGTGTCCCTCGCTGACGAACTATGATGTTCCCTGGAATCACCCTCTGCAATCAAAATGGAAAACCCTCATTCGCCATCACAAGATCGAATCTTTCTATATTTCAGTAAAGCAAGTTCACAACAACTAACCTCCCCACCGAATTTCTTAACTCCCAGGTTCTTGGGCTTGGAGTCCCGTCCGTTCTTCGTGGATCCAGCTGTTTTCTTTGTAGCCCATCGACGGAACATCACGTTCAGGCCGCCGCCGGCGGACCCATCTGGAAACAAGAACCATACACTTATTTCATTACATTACAAACGGAAATGAGATTTTACGTAGGGAATTCAAACGGATAACTGAATGGAATCAGATCGAAAGGTTTACCAGTGAAGGTTTCATAGACAGGGGCACTAGTGACTAGCTCCTTCAGATTCAAACCTCTGCAAAGCCTCGAGGTGAAATGGAACATTGTTTCCGAGATTGTCGTCTGTGGTGAAAAAGACCCACCAAGAAATTTAAGCTCCGGGAAACTGATATCAATTCGCGGAAACACATTTAGGAAGAAAACCCTGAAAAAGCAAGAAACAGGAAACCCTATGCAACCAGCGATTGGAATGGATTGAATTCGGATTCTGAACATTGAGGAATCTGACATTTAGGGTTTAAGATTGACAAACGAGTTGGCCGAATCACCTGGGAGTCTCAAAATTGATTCTTCTTTGAGTTCAGTCGTTGGCCGATCGGAGAGTGGGAGGTGAATACTCTGCCTTCGTCGCCGGCTGTTCAGCGGTCGCCGCGGTTTTTTCTCCTGCTGGGGAAGATGCTAGGCTAATTTTGTTGTAATATTCAGAGGATTGCCAACAAATGGGCTGTGCATTGGGCCTGCTTCCGCTTTGCGACTAGGAATAACAGACTACGCCCACACCTCATCGCAAGCTTGGGCCCATGGCATTGAGACAAAACAGAGTTTCTGGCCCAATTGCTTTTGTTTTCGCGCAGGATCGGAAAATCCGAGGTTGTAAATTTGTGCATAAGTCAATGGTAGGCTATTTTGTATTTAAAATATGGTTTAAACGTGGTTCAATCGTTTTGAATTGATAAAAATCTATACCGACTTGAATTTTCATATGAGGTTTGGTTGACCGGCGTTACGGTTTCACAAGCACTTACTTAAGCTATTAAAAAATGTGGGGAGGAAAGAAAATTTTGGGAGGAAAATTTATATGGAGGGAGTTGAAAGGTGAAATGTTGTTAGATAGATTTATACTAGTATAGTTTGATAGATTTCCTCTTCTTCATATGGGGGTTTGCTTGGATGGTGCTGGTTCTTGAGAATTGCTATAGTATTTATCATCGATTTTGTCGGAGCTTAATGAAATTTTGACCTAACTATAAAAAATAAGATAATATAAGAATCAAAACTTGACAACCAGAATTATGCTGGGGCATTCGAAAACCATGAGATGTGGTGAGAATGGAAAGCTTCACCCGCACAGAGATGAGGATGGTATGAGTTTAGAAATTAAAAAATAGGAATGTGGATTGACATAATTTTTTTTTTTTTTTTATATCTAATAGAGGCATACAATCATATAGCAAGTCCAAAGCTTATTCAAAAGTAGGCTAATTTATATAATCATAAATTTAGTTCCTAAATCTATTGCCATTTTGTCGAGTATTGATCTTTATTATCTTCAATATGTCGAAGATAAACACCATCCTCTTTCACAACCCAAAATGTATTGTTCTTATGCTCCCTGCTCTGTTCGTCTGCGTCCTCCTTGTACGCATCGAAGATAGCACGACGCTGATCGTCCGTGGACACCTCGCATGTCCACTTGGTGGTCCAGAATACATGTGGTTTGAACCTCCATGTGAATTCCGCCCCAACAACCACATCGTTATACCCTCTGTCGTCATTTTCCGATCGACAATGGACGTGCAAGACACTTTTGGTTAGACCGTTGATGACGTGGATGTGTTTGTACGGCCATATGCTCCACGCCGATGAAGTTCCGGCGAGGGCTGCAATCACAAGCAGGACTAGAAGCAGTGACGACCTGGTGATAGGTGTGGCCATGGTTGACATCCTTAATTTGTGTTTTGTATGTGGTTTGGGTTTGTGGGGATTATGAGTTGTGACTAAGACGATGAAAGTGTTTATATAGGATGGATAAATGGGTATGATTTTTTAGTGGGAATATTGGTGACTGAAAATTTATATGTTGATAAGGTTGTATTAATGAAAGAAAATTGGGAAGGTTGCTCTTACCCGTGTGATGATAAAAATGGTCATTAAACATTTTTGGGTCATAATAGTGCTATTGATAGAACAACCTAAAAAAATTGACATTTCTTTTTATATTTTTGGATATTACATGGAATATTATTTTAAGGGAAAGGATGTTACATGGAATATTATTTTAAGAGAAGATAGCTGATCAATCAAAGTCTACTTTTCAAACATAAGACATCATACCAACATCATATAACCATCATATCAACATTTTATCACTATCATATCAACATATTACCAATATGATATCATACAACGATTGGTGGGAATATCATGATATGACAGAGGTATGATGACTCGAAAAAATTCTACTCCAAAAAATATCAAAATGGATATCAGCTTATAGAGTACAAAGTACTAATTTTTCTGTGCTAAAATTTCTGAAATCCGATATAAAAGGAATGAGTTAAGAACGTTGAATTTTCGTTGGAGTTTTGAAAAAGGTTTTAACACCCGTCTAAGAATCCGCGTCACTCCCCTAAATCTGGGCAGCTGCACCCTAATATTGGTCAACCCTCTCCCTTCTCTCCTACTTTCCCTTTTTACCCCATACAAAGTTGGCTATTGGATCTATGGATGGAAATTCGTACGGTATCGATGTCGCGATACCAAATACTGAATTACACACTAAAATTAATCTCAATCCCTAAATTAACTAGGTATCCCAATCCTTAAATAGTTTAGTACCCAATTGGTTTTGTCGCTATCTCAATCGATATTTTCAATTAATAATTAAATATATAAATTAGAGTATATAATCTAGTTTAGGACAAAGAGACTAGCTAGACAAAGAGGTTTGAGTTTTTCTAGAGTTAGGACATGGATAAAGAGAAAGGAGGAGATGGTGACATCTCGGTTTCTTGTCATTTGTAATCTTTTCGACAAATTGGAGGTCGAGAGACAACTAATGAGACTGTAAGTTTTTTTTGTGTTATGAAAATAACAAGAGATTGATTGAGAGACGAGTGACTTAAACTGGAAAGTCAAAATTGGGTTGGATGGGGTTTCTGAGTTGTTAAAGAGGGAGGAACAACCAATAGTTGTTTGCTATATTTCATTAATTTTTATTTTTATGATTTTTATCGGTATTTCGGTATAATATCGATCACAATCCCGTAATCCCGAATATCGAGTAACATTTGAAAATGAATCTCAATCCATAAAAATAAATTGGTATTCGATAATACCAAATAGTAATAAATTCAGTACGGTATTCGGTATATCCCATATACAAGTACCAAACTTTCATCCCTAATTGGATCCCTTCCCTCCCAATCTCAACCATTGATTTTGGTTTTGTATGACTACAAAACTATAGAGTTATGTACCCTAACCCAAGCCTTATTTTAATGGGTAATAAAAAATTGGATTAAGCTCACGAATACCTCTCTCAAAGTGTACATCTTGCTATTTTGAAAGAACTTCTCAAAACTTATCAATTATATTGCCTATTTAGTTCATTACTAAAATCTTCATTTCGGGTTATATGCTAAGTTGTCGCTGACGTGTGCGTCAAATTTTCATCCTAGTCAACATCTTGTTAATGTAACTAACGAAATCTCTATTAAGGTTTTAATCAAAGTGGTTGAATTTTTCAAACATGTTTCCAAATTTTGGTCATTTTGTTTATTTCTAAAAATTTGGATATTGTTGTCACAAAGTTAATAATTATGGCTATGCAAGTGATTGTTGCCATATATTTATGATCAGTCTGTTACATTTGTCACTAGCCATTGAGGATTTACAAATCCTAACCCAATATGTGAGATCTTTAAAGTCTCTTCACGGATTTTGATCCAAAATAAAGAAATCTATGGACCTCACGGATTTGGCACTAATCAACAAATGATAGACCTGGGTTAAGTACATAAAATTTGAGATTTGAATACCAAATTCATTACCCAAATGCAACAAGCAAAGGACACATTTATTCATTAGAACAAAATGGTTTACCTTTGACAAAAAAAAAAAAAATCTAAGGACCAAAAGAAGAGGAATCTTACAATGATTCATAGCATGGATGCTTTCATTTAAAAAAATAAATAATTTATGGTACAAACTATAAATTGAACTTATACTTTTAACGTCATGGACTCATGGTACTACAAATTCACATCATGGTACATATTTAGTTTCTACTCATACATTTTTGTACAAATTTCTTGTGTTACAGACTGAACTTATACATCTACGTTATCATACAGTTTATTTTATACCTACACATTTTCGTACAAATTCCGTTATGATACAAATCATGTCAATTGCAATTTATTTTAAGAATAAAATAAAGTGGGATTATTTGACGGTTTTCTTTATCCTTGTAAGTTATAATCCACAATTCAATTTTTCGGTAGAATTATAATTATTTTCCATTTAGAAGTTGTGTTTAAAGATTAATATTAAGCATAGGGGAGCTGAAAATGGATTCAGCGGCTGCGAATCAAACCTGACAGTGTTGTATCAGGCCCGTTGGTCGGTTTGTGGTCATTTGGGTATTTTTTTAGTTAAATGTAGGTGATTCGATTTTTATTATTGTGCACTGGTGGTACAAAAGAGTACTTTGATAGTTTATGTTTTTAGTGCCCGTTAACTTTATAATTTTATTGAATTTGTATTTCATTTTATACTTAACTATAAGAAGTTTAAGTTAGACAACGAATGAAATGAAAAGCTATCTGGAATCTATATTCATGCCTTGAGATATTAAACATCATTGAATAAAAAAAAATCAACAAAAATCTTTATCTTCATTATATGTGAATAATTACTTTGCAAATGAAGCTTTGAAATTTTATTACTATTTTAATTTAAATATTGTTGATTGTCATCTATTGAATTAAAAAGAAAATAATGTACATAATATTACTATAGATGTATTACATTTAAATAGTTTAAAGATACAAAAATTCGAGGAGAAAAAAATGTGATATGGAAATAGATTATTTGGACAATTATGTAAATCAAATCCAAAAATATTAGTATATATGTATTAAATTTATATTTTTGAAAGAGACAAAAATGAAAAATATTAGCAAAAGAATATTTTGACTTGAAATGGCCTTCGTAAGTTATTCAATCATTTGAACTTTAGTTATCATAATTCAAACTTAACCTTTAACAATATGCTCATATTTTTAAATATTTTATTGACTAGATCCTATATTTTCAAAAGTGGAGCAGTTGTCGGATGGAAAATTTCAATAACTCATGATTAATGGTTTATCATTATACAACTATTTTGTAATCGTTAATGGAACTATTCAGATGTAAATAACAACGTAGTTAGGTTGAAGAAGCATTTAAGTTATTCCATTGGACCATATTTTACGTTTAATAATTTTCTAATAAAACCTATCTCGACTTTAAGCAATTACATAGAGTACATTTTTTTTATTATCTAATTCGACACAAATATCGAGTCGATACGATATGGATGGAATTATTGTTTAACCTACGACTAAACATGCGATCTTACCTTTCAAAATTTAATGTAAAATTAGACATGCTAATTTGAAAATTAAAAGAATTAAAAACAATATAAATTGATTGTATTTTGCCAAGATTTCCCGTTTTTCTTCCTCTTCATGTTTGCCGAAATCACTATGAAATTAAGATTCTAAAATTTTTGAAGGTTGATGCTTATTTTATCTGTTTAACGTAAAAACGCTAATGCGAAAAAACCTATTCAGAAGGAACCTCTTCCCAAACATCCACGCCACAACGATATATCATCTTTATCATCTCAAAATCCAATTCGCAAGCATTATCTCATTTAGGAATTAAACAAATTTAGATAGACTCTGTTTTTTCCTTAACCACACAAAATAAATCTACACAGAGCAAAGTTCAAATAATTATTATGTAGCATTTACCTTAAAACAAATCTTCTTTTCTCTTAATCCTAATCGCATTTACTAAAAAGAAAACCAAAAGTCCAATAAGAACCCTTGAGTGTCTGTAATATTGTCAAAGTTGCCCTTCCACCAAATAAGGATAACCAATCAAAGCGCAAGGTGGCAACAATGACATAAAATGAAGTGCATAATATATTGTGTAGAAGATGCGGGGGGAACACTTATACCATCGGAGCAATACAACAATTGAAACTAATTCATCACTAGTAATATTATTGTGCAACCTTTATTCAAACCCGCAGGCCGATCGACGTACAATTACAAAGTCGTTCTAAATAAATCCCAACGACCACTTCGTCCAGTATTGATCTACGTTCTGTTTAACAAGTCTAAGATAAACACCGTCCTCTTTAGCAGCCCAATATATGTTGTGCTTGTACTCCCTTTTCCCTTGGCGGTTATCCTCCCAGTACGCGTCGAAGCTGGCGTAGCGATGATCATCCGTCGACAATTCACACGTCCACTTGGTCGTCCCCCAGATGTTGGGCTTGAATCTCCATGTGAACTCCGACCCAACAGCCACATCGATATGTCCCCTGTCGTCTTTTCCAAACCAGCAGTGGACGTGCAAGATGCCTTTGTACGTAGTCAACTCGTTGATGACGTGGACGTGCTTGTACGGCCACAAGCTCGGGAATTTCCATGCCGACGACGAAGTTCCGGCGAGCGCCCAAGTCACGATGATCAGGACTAGAAGAAGCGGTGACCTGGTGGTGGTGATAGCAGTGACGACCATGGTTGACATATCGCCCGTTTTTTCTCTTTTGTTTTGATTTCCTTCTTTTATTTGCTGTATAATCTCTCTTGACAATGGAAGTGTTGGTAAATGGACATGGCACTTTCGATGAATTTGACGAGGGATTTATAATCTTGACAAGGTTTTGAGAGTAAATCTTAGCTGTGTGGTGATAAGTGATAACAATGGTTATTGGATAACTTGTGGGATATTGTTGCTATTGAGAGAATAACCTTTCTTAGGCAAAAATGTTATTGTGATGAAAATGCTTAGGCCAATGATTTTTTCCTTTTATATATAGTTTTTTCCTTAGTATATATGGTTTTTTTATTATATCATAACTAACATAATGGAGGGATATAAATATTATTTTTATGATTAATGAAAAAATATCGTAATTACAGGAAAAATATCATTAAGCACGAGAGCATCATATTTGTAACATGAAAAAGTATTGAGGTCGTAAGCTAACTCGATTCAAATTTGATAAAGAAAATTTTACTTATAATCATTCAAGCAATCCCCTCATACATCATGAGTGTGTTTCTACTTCCTTTATCCATTACAAATTTGATGGATGCAATTCTGTTTTTTTTTTTTTTGTCTAGAGATATGAAGAAGAAGTCAATTCACTGGTGTGATGCGAGGACATTGGAAAGACGAAAAGAAGAAGGGGGTTTGGGGTTCAAAAACTTTCACATGTTTAACCTTGCTCTCATCGGGAAACAAGTGTGGCGTATGTTGCATAGCTCTGATGCGCTTTGGGTCAGATTGCTCAAAGGGCTTTACTATGTAAGTGTACATGAGCGCTGGGCCGTGCTTGGGCCGGCACGACACAGGCACGCTTCGGGCCCATTTATTTCGTGTCGTGCTTGGCACGGCCTGTCAGTTTTCGTGTCGTGTCATGCAAGTCTATTTGTTAACTATTCTAAACCCGGTCCAGGCCCAGGCACGGTTCGAATCGTGTCGTGCCTATTCGTGCTCGTGCCATGCTCATATTCGTGCTTAATGAAAAGGATGAAAACAAAAGAGAGAATGAAAAAGAAAGTGAATATTGGACGGAGGAATATAGTATTAACCGATAATGTTTGAGAAAAGTAACAAATAAGGGGGGGGGGGGGGAATTGGAAGTATAGCGAGTGTGATTTGACTTTGTTTAATTCTATGTCCATTTTTACTTATGTTAGTAATTACGTATACATCTTTATGACACTTCTAACAACAACAAATAATTATATTTCTACTTGTGTTTTGTAATATTTGAACCTATAATTATTTTTATATTTATTTTCTATCAAATAAATATTATTTCTTTGTCATGTCCGTTCTTATACTCAATAAAATCTCGAAAATATTAGGCCCGACACGGCCCACTTATATACCGTGTCGTGCCCATGCTCGTGCCCATGCCCATGAAGTTTAGGCCCGGCACAACCCATAAATTATTCGTGCTCGTGCAGGGCTGGCCCATTTATTTCGTGCCCGTGCTCGTGTCGTGCCGTGCTAGCCCGTGGGCGGCACGGCCCGGTGCCCACGTACATATGTAAGTGGTCACCTTTTCTCAGCAGCAAAAGGAAGGAGAGGATCATGGATTTGGAATGGCTTCTGTGACACCAAAGACAAATTATAGAGTCCCAAAACGCCATGTTCTGTAACTCGGGGGATAATGTCAGGGGAAGGTACATCTTTCCACAATGATCCTTGGGTACCATCTCTCCCTAATTTTTCTCTGCCTAGTTTGGGTTTGGAACCCTCGAAAGTGTGTGATTGGTTCTCCATGCCTGAGCGGAAGTGGGATTTGGAAGCTTTGATGGCAAATGTTCCAGAGGAGGTAGCAATGGCTATTTTGCGTGTTCCAATTGGCCCCATGAATGCTCAAGATAGATGGTTCTGGAAATTCACAAACAATGGTGCATATTAAGTGAAATTTGCGTATCGAGCACTTTGAGAGACTCGTGACCAACATAGCAATGTTTTGGTGGTCAATTTGATTAGACCTAACAGGGATGATTGGAGATGGTTGTGGTCTTTGTCTCCAAAGATCATATTCTTTATTTGAAAGTGTGCAAAAAGTGCAATTGCAACCAGAGCTAGATTGCTCTCGCGTAAGTGTGCATAGAGTGCAAGGTGCACTATTTGTGAAAACCATGATAAAACTATTATGCACTGATTGATCCATTGTCACCATGCGACAACCACCTGGTTGTCATATGGTCTTCTTCATTCTATCCCCGCGCCTGAGACCTCGTTCTCAGAATGGTTCTTCAAGTTGAAGATTATTTTTCGGATGTCCAGATTAAGAAGATTGCTTGCTATTTGTGGAATATCTTGATTGCTTGAAATGGATTTGTTTTCGAATCCAAGGTTCCATCCCCAACCATCGTTGCAATGATGGCTGAATGCGACTTCCATTGTCTTGAAGAAGCTAGGACTCACCCTCAAGCCTCTTCAACCTCTAGATCAGCATCATTGCCTCCTAAGTCAAGGGGATCCCGTTCACACCCTTTACCACCGCCTTTTGCATTTCCTCGTGTTGTGCACTATGATGGCTCTTTTTCTTCTGTTTTACAGGTGGCGGCTTATGGGATTACTATTGCTGACTCCCATGGTCAAGTATATGACGGAGAGGCTGAGACTCTCTTTTGTTCCTATATGATTCAAGCGGAAGCAGTTGCTCTCCTCAATGCAGTTGTGTTGGCGGCCCAAGTGAGCTGCCCCACGTGTGTGAAGTCAGATTGTGAGGTGCTAGCAACAGCCCTGAAGAAGCCACCTGATCTCTGGCCATGGCAGTGTAGGGCAACGTTGGCCCGTGTCATCGACATTCTCCATTATGCAACTTGGATCACGGTGGAGTTCACTCTAAGATGTTTCAATGGCATTGCTTATTGGGTGGCTAAGAGTGCTCGTGAAAGTTGTTTACCAGTGGACTGGATTACTATTGCGAACTTGATTGAACCACTTTGTAATATGTTTGCTCACCTTGGATTGGATTTAGAAAATAGGTTTCATCTTTAAAAAAAAAAAAGTTAAAAGTCTTCAAAAGTGTGTGTGTGTGGGGGGGGGGGGGGGGGGGGGGGGGGCATGACAACATTGGGTTTATTGGAACTTTTGTTGTGTGGGAGCAACACGGTAATATAGTAGTGGATGATACTAATCATATTGCACAAACAAAGTATGATCAGTGTATATTTATATGTAGATGAAGTTATATTGAGAAGGTTACTTTATCCAATATTGATCTTTATTATATTGAATAATTGTAAGGTAAACACCGTCTTATTTAGAATTCCAAATATGTTTTCCTTGTACTTCCTCCTGCCTTCTCGCATATTTCATTATTCTAGGCGAGATTTTTTGTTGTTGATAATGGTGAATTTATTAAATAGAAACAAAACTAAAAAACAAAAGGAGACAAACTCCATCACCCAAGGATCTCTAGGAGTGATCCAAACAGGTTAGGAGAAAACCAAGTCCAGAAGCAAAGAAAAAAAGAGAAGACAACAGCTCCTCCAACAAAGGGAAGATCCAAAAAAATGACGACAATGTTCCCTCAACCCCCCACCCCACTGAAAACCATTACAACTTTGCTATCTCTGTAATAAAGGGCACAATTGATTAAACAGAGTGATCCAAACCATTCCATTCTGCAGACTGATAATTCCGTTGGTTTAACTCCAATTCAAAAGTGTCTTTCAGATCTTGTGCACAATCACACGCCATGGTTTCGACTCGTCTTTATATGTTCTAGCGTTCCTTTCCTTCCAGATTTCCCACATAGCAGCATAAAGTAACCTGTTCTTGAACCATTCTTTCCAATTCGTGTGGTTGCTAGTTGGCCAACCACTAATCAGCGCATTAATGTTACAAGGAAGCGGGCCAATCCACTCAACGATCGCTTGCAACATCGTCCAAATCTCCTTGTTGTACTCACATCCACAGAACATATGATCCACCTTTTCTTCAGCTTTGTTGCACATCACGCATCTACCCGCTAGCTTCCAGCCTCTCCTTTTAAGATTATCCTCAGTGAGGATCCTTTTATACATCACCAACCAAAGAAATGTTGTAACTGTCGATGGCACTTGGGACCTCCAAATCACCTTGTAGGGGAAACCTGCCACACCCGGACGCATGCTGGAATTGGTGTAGCAATACATAGACTTTGCCGTGAATAGTGCACTCTTTGTTGGCTGCCACACAATAAGGGCTTGCAGCAAACAAATAAGGAAAAATGGACGATAAAAACTGAAATAAACCCACTCTCTCCCTCTCTGCCCCACCCCGTAACGCGAATTGTAAAGGAATAACCCAGGAAACACCCTCAGGAGAAATGGAAACAAACTCTGAGACTGAAGCTTCCTGGGAAGACGAGGCAGCTGCGACTCTTGGATAGACATCTTCAAGGATCACCCCAGGAATCCAGCAATCCCTCCAGAATGAAACCCAACCTTCCCCTCCAGCGTTCACAAAAGCATGTTTCCATAACTCAGCTTCTTCCTTCATGATATTCTTCCACAAAGAGCAACCCAGCCTTCTATAGCCCTTTCCAGCCCTCCAAAGCGGAGTATGGCAAGTGAACTTGATGTCAATTAACCTCCGCCACCAGGCCACTAGGTCAGAAGCATACTTCCACAACCATTTCGAGAGAAGCTCGAAGTCCATTCACTTAATATCTAAAATCCCCAAGCTACCAGCGTCCTTAGCCACTTTACAAGTATCCCATTTAATTAGATGGTAATTCCTCTTGGTGTTAGAAGCGGACCAGATGAACTTCCTCATACAATTCTCCATCTTATGAATAGCAGACGCTGGCGCTTTCAGAATAAAGCACGCATACAATGGTTGACTTGTTAGAGTGCTGCGAGTTAAAGCGTTCGAAAAGGGGTGCAACACGAGGACTTCCCAAGAGGTCACCCATCTTAGTACTACTCTCGCCCAGTCACGTTTAACTTCGGAGTTCTGATGGGATCCGGTGTATTAGTGCTGGTATGATCCCACCCAAGGCGAGGTTTCTTGGTTAAGCCTCGGTGAAAGAATTAGATCAATAGAATTTGAATACAGATATGTTGGCGCAGATTGGACACCTTGCAAGGACCGACACCTTTCTATCACGCAACGGCTCCATCGTCGGCAAAAGTCCTTGCAGAAGCTCTCACGCAAAGAACTTAAGATTTAGCTGAATTGGCATATCCCAAACCTTAATCCAGAGTCTGATCCATCGTACTACATTCCAGCTTCCATTTACCCACCATTCGGGATTTCCGCTCAGCCAATTTATAACTGGATTTCACCGTATAAAACCTGACATGTCCTCCCGCCAAATGAGCCTATCCGACAGACCCTCAACAAAGGGATTTCCAAAATACATTGTATTGTATTCTGATAGAATGTCGAATGTATACACTCCAAATACCATTCTCCTCGGTCCAGATCAATCATTTCCGAGACCAACTAATTCCCACCTAAAAGGGCCTCTGGTCGAATTAACGGTCGATCCAGATGAATCGATCAAATCCAACCTTCCAACCATCGGTATGAGGTCTCCCAAGCCAATATGCCAAGCCATGCCATGTCTGAGTAATTGACAACTATGAAGCACCCCCCTACCAACCCCAGGAAGGAATTGCGTCATAGACGAAAAGATGGATCCATGGGGGAGTACTTACCCTTATAAATTTGTGCCAATAGTGAATCAGGCTCCGAATGAATCCGCCACAATCTTCGCTAGAAGAGTCTGGTTAAACAACTCAAAACGATGAAAGCCCAAGCCACCCTCTGCTAAGTTGTCATTAATTTAAATAATGGTAAGTTGTTATTAATTTTGGTTTAATTGTCTTTGTTGATTGATATTTATCTAACTTATATTAATAAGTATACGATGGATTGAATCCGTTATTATGTTTTCATTATTGATGTCGACATATTTAACGACAAAAATTTTATATCAAAATTTTTAAAAAGTTACATAAAAATGTTCGTCTTAATTAAATATTGCTATCCATATAAAAAAATAAAAAAAATTATATAATTAAAATGGTAAAATCTACGCTATAATACATTATAAAAAAATGAAAATTTGGCATTTTGACATTCTAACACTTCTTATTGGAGCAAAACTCACATTTGGAGAAGCCAAATTGTCAAATTTTTCTAGCATTATTTCACTTTGACATTCCCTTGTTGGAGATGGTTTAAAGAGTTATAGTTCAAGATAGATCGAATTATATTTGATTGCAAATCAAAACAGAATGTGCAACATAACTTATACTTAAGTGACTACATTTAACCCTTGAATCGAGGTATTCCATTATCACTCAGATTTTCATATTTTTCTTCATTTTTATTTCAAATTGAAACTTTATCTTTCTCTTTGCATCCTTATCATATGATTTAAGATATAAACTATAAAGAAAAAAAAAGAGATTGGTGCGAACATTATTAAGGATGACAAAAATATCTGCAACCGTGATATGAACATGATTTTAATATTTTACCTGATCCTTATACGAATATAGTATGGATAAAACCCTAACTACATTAAGTAGGATAAAGAATATACACTAACTGTACCAACCCTACCTGTTGGGATCCTACCTGTTGCCATCCCCAAACATTATTATCCAAGGATTGTTTTTCCTAAAAAGGTTTTCCTAGCAATAGCAATAGTATCCCCACAATTACTAAAACACCATTGTTATCATCATGGTTAATATTAACTTACCAATTTTATTTAATTAATACAACCTTATCAAGATATAAATTTTTAACTAAGTCACCAATGCCTATATAAACACTTCCATCTTAGTGGAAAGCACCACAAACCCATATACGAACGAAAAAACAAACAAGAAATTGCCAACCATGGTCACAACCATCACTAGGTCACCGCTGCTTCTTCTTCAAGTCCTACTTGCGACGGTTGCAACACTACTCGCCGGAACCTCATCGGCGTTTAGCCTTTGGCCGTACCAGCACGTCCACATCGTCAACCAGTTCCCCGCCGACGATGATACGGTCTTGCACGTTCATTGTTTCTCGAGAAACGACGACAGAGGGCACGTCGATTTGGGTGTTGGGAAGGAGTTCACATGGCGATTCAAGCTCAACGCATTCCGGCCGACGAGGTGGAGGTGCGAGGTGTACGCCGATGACACTAATCACCATGCCACATTTGTTGTGTACGCGCAGAATTTCAAGTTCTACTATTGGATCCACAAAAACAATATCTATTGGCATGTTAAAGATGATGGGATTTACGTTCACGTTTTTCAAGAGCACCAAGATGTATACGTAATACCATGGGGTAGTACCGCAGAAGATACAATAATGGATCTAGGAACTACTTCATAGTTATACAATACTTTCATTAGTGTTTGAATAAGGCCGGAGAAGTGTAAGTGGTGCCGGATTAGGTTAAAGTGTTTTATCTCATGCCTATTAAATAAAAACCTTAATTATGTCTTGGATGTGTAATGACTAATATATTCTCTCCCTTTTCGATCTTTTGCCTTCTTTATTTCATATTTTCTCCTCTTACCTTTTCCTTTGTTTTGTATTATATGCGACTCGAAGAGTCCTTGACAGTCATACAGACGGAGATGATGTAAGTTTAGATTAGAAACAGAAAATACATGAAAACCCAAAGCAGGGAGTGAACCTGACTTGCCAAGAAGTTAGTACATGTACACTTGTTCCCTTCTCTATAGATATGGGATATAGAGACTTCTCACTGGCGATTAAGGAGAGCCTGGAAAAGGTCAATAATGGTTGCGTGTTGATGATCGGATTGGTCTCTATTATGCATAAGTTGCACGACACACTTGGAGTCAAGCTCCACTAGTACTCGTTGAGAGCCCTTATCTCATACCAAATGAAGACCTTCTACAACGCCTCTCAATTCAGCTTGGGTGACGAAACATATCCCCATGTTTAAAGCTACTGATGCCGTGCAACATCTTGTATGATATCTAATCAAGTCACCTACAGCTGCCTGGCCTGATAAAGAAAGAACGGAATCGTCGGAATTGAGAGTTATTCACTCGGGAGGGGGCAGTTTCCAGGAGATCTCTAACTTCGTTCTGATTGACAGACTAGGCGTATGGACAAGACAGTCTTTTCCATGGCATTCCTCGCTACATTAACCCATGCCACCGAAGAAAGGCTTCGTTCTTGTTGTGAAGACTCGGTCTTTCTTTCCCACCAAAGAGACCAACAGGTGATCCGAAATAGCAGGCCATGATGTTGGTCAAAGCAGTTAAAATCGAGATTTTACCTAAAATCAAAAACTGGGGTAAAATCGGAATCGTAAAATCGAATCGTAGAATCGTAGGATTTTAAGTACCATGTATAAATAAACATATAATAATATTAATAAGGTAAATAATTAATAACACAAAGCCTTATAACATTTAAAGTGATAATTTTCAAGATTAATGTTCCAAAATTATCATTTTAATTGTTATTTAATGCGTAACTCAAAATAATTTATGAGGAAGGGATAGAGCTCATGGGGTTTGGCTCTTATTTTTCATGTTGTGTCTAGGTAGTTTAACTCAAAGTAGTATTCCGACATCGTCTACTAAGCATGATTTAAAACTAAGAATAACTGAAATCCAATAAAATAATTAATGTCATTGGTTTGGTACAAATATATTCATTAATTAAATAAATTTGTTAATAATGATGTTAATTCTTACGCACTTACAATATTTTGAGAATTGTTTTACCGATGAGTTAAACAAGGAGAAGGAAAAGGGGTTGACCGAACCAAAATTAAAAATTTTTTTCTTTTCAAATGCTCTTTTAATAGAAAAAATATATGAGTAGATCTCCGTCATTGCTCTTTCCGCCGAAACAGTTATGCTTCTTTTGATTTGGTTCAAGGCTTCAAGCTCCCTATTTTGATCACATAGGATCAAAATCCCGATTTTGGTACGATTTTACGATTTTAACGATTTTAATCCCGATTTTGAACGATTTTAAGGTCCACCGATTTTATAGTAAAATCAGGATCGGAATCCCTAAATAAAATCCTACGATTTTACGATTAAAATCCCGATTTTGACTGCATTGATGTTGGTAATAGAGCTGCAAACGAGCCAAGTTGAGTCGAGTTTTTGCTTAGTTTAAGCTCAGCTCGTTGATAAATTTTGCAGTTCGAGCTCGGCTCGAGCTCGAATTTTGATAATCCGGCTCGAGCTCTAGCTCGTCTTGATTAAAAATAATCCAACTCGAGCTCGACTCGGTAGAGCTCGGTAAATGCCATTAACACAACTTGTCAAACTAAGTACAAGCTCAGCTCAAGATAAGCTCGATTTGAAATCATTCTTGTTGAAAATGTGTACACATAAGAATTTATATGATAAAAAGAACAGTAAAAACCATAAATAACATCTAACTTCCATAAACATCCGTATTAACAAGGTAATTTTCATGTTCATAAGAGTAATTGATCATTCCACGAGCTCTAAACAAGCCAGCCCACGAGCTTATCAAGTTGAGCATGGTCTAGCTCAAACTTGGCTCGTTTACTAACGAGTCGGCTCGTGAGCCAGGTTGTTAAATAACAAGCCGAGTGTCGAACGAGTTTTTCAATGCGAACGCCGAATTGCTCGCGAGCGGCTTGTCTCATTTGTATCCCTACTGGTAACGTATGTATTTCAGTATCCAATCATGTATGTGCTGTCGAGTGTCGAAGAAGTGTTGTTGTTTAGAAAGTTGAGTGAGCTTGCAATTCACCCAATCTTATGAATTGGAGTTTGCTAATTCATAGGATTGTTAAATTATATATTGCACTCTATATGATGTCTAAGACATTAATTGTATGTGAGCAAAAATGTATTTTTAAAAAAATTTAAAAAGAAATTATGTATCATAAATTGCTTCGATATTATGAAATAACATGATTTGTACTAGTTAGAATTTATGAAATAAATTATGTGATACCAACATAGAATAACATGGGATTAGTTAATGATATAATTTTGGATGTTATTATTTTTTCATCAAGAGATCAATCAAGTGAATCATAGATAACATACAAAATGAATGTATCAAACATGCATGAGTTAAGATTTTAATAAACGAATCTAGCTCAATTCGACTCATTTGCAGCCCAACCTGCAATTCCATAACCCAACCAATATTGACGGATAAATCAAGATGAGTATCTAAATACACGGGATTTTTATTAATTTGAGGACGTTTCACGTCTTGACTCAAATGTGTCCACTCTTTTACACCTAGGATTTGAAATCATTTCTCAAGCCAACCACTAGTTGAATTTTGTAGGATGGACTTCAAACCCCTAGAGAATTTTAGAGAACAGAAATCAAACAAGTTTTCTTCCTCACAAGCTGACCGCTATAGAAAGCCTCTACCCGCTACCTGTAAGAGTACGGTAAAAAGATCCTAAATAACATTTTCCCAACAACTCGATTTATTAGAATCAACTGGTTTATACATGATCTCAAATCTGATTTGGCCAAGTAGTCGTGTGCTCGAATCTCCACGTCCCCCGATATGAACAGATATAATTAACGCACAAGATATGTATCTGTGCAAACTTCAAGTCCGTGAGTTGACTTTCGTGATTTCGACCACATTTGTGTGTTCTTCTCATCATCTTACCTTTCCCTCGTTATTGTTTGCAGAAAGGAAGAGATTGTTCAACACAGCAACCAATCAAATTATCACCCTCAACAGGCAAAACTACTCGAATGCCATAATAGGCTAATCGGGCAACCTATTCATGTTCCTTTTTTTTTTTTTTTTAACCCATTAGGGAGGCATCTAACACTTAAACAACCCTACCAACAGCTTTCATTTTCGTTTGTCCCTATCGTCTTGTTTAAGGTGGTGGGCTAGCAGGCAATTAAAGCAGGGAGCAGAGGAAGTAGAGTAAAATCAGAATTTGATCCGACTTTATTGCCACAACTATGCATATGAATATGATATGATATGAGGCAGCAATGCATAGCAGCCCTTTCAGCTGCCTCCCATCCAACTTCTCACCGCATTCAATGCAAGCTGCTGCTGCTGCTGCAGTAAGCCAGCAGCCTAGCTTCATCGATACTCTGACCATCACGACAATTTCTGGTCCCTTATAGTTATAGCTCTAGTCCTTTACCCTTCCGCCTGACAAACACGTTATCGCGGTAAGAAAGTGATTAAATATCATAATAACTTAAGTTATTGAGATACACTTCCAGAAGAAATTGGACCGATTGCTCAAGTGCAATAAGATGATTGATCACTCTTTGATAGGCAAAGAGTAGCGGCAGAGGGAGGTGTTAAGGAGATGGGTCCTGAGATCCAACTTGACAAAAAATTATGCTATGAACCCCTTAAAATACATATGGTTTAGTACGGTCCTTCAAATTTATGACCTCACAATCTATGAACCCCTAAAAATACATATGGTTTAGTACGGTCCTTCAAATTTATGACCTCACAATCTACGTCGATGTTAATTCATCTATCTAAGCATCCCAATCAATTCAAAATATATTAAATACACATGTATTAGTGTTGATAAATATCTAAGGACCCCAATAAACACAAACTGTCAGAGTGTAAACAAAAGTGAAGATTCATATACTAGGATTCATATACTCTTATAGCCCAAAATGTGTACATATACATACTAATACTATGTTTCAGTATATAACCTGACTTGAACAAAAGAAACTACACAAAAAAGAGGGCCAAAACAAGAGAAGAGTTTCAAACAACAAAAGAGACCTTCATGAACCCGAAGAAAGAGAACCCTAATCTCTTAAAATTTCACCTTTGACCTATACTTGATATGGAGAGCCGGCAAAAACCCTACTTTAGCTTAACCCATCGCCGACCTAAGCTTTTGGTCGCAAACAAAAAAGAACTTCGCCGGCCGTCGCTAAAACGAACAAAAACACATGTGGCCAAAAGTCGAGAGGAGAGAGATCATACACATGGTCAAAACTACAACGAGGCAGCTGAACCATTAGCCTTCCTCTCCGCGCCGCCGCCGGTACTATTATCCCACGTCTCCTCCGAGCTCCTTCCTCCTCCTCCTCCGCCGCCGTACGAGCCGGCGGAGCTGGCAGCGGCTGCCGCTGCAGCATAGTCGAAGCCATTGCTATAAGAGGTCAGCAGAGCGGAGCTGGAGTCCAGGCCCAGACCGAGCAGGTCCAGAGTAGTGGGCCCGAAGGACTGGCCCAGCCCAAGCCGAAGCCCACTTCCAGACTCCTGCTTCGAGTCCCACTGATGATGATTGCCAATATTCCTATCCTCGGAATGAAAAGGCGCCGGCACCGGCGGGGACATTTGCAGGCCCAACCCCCGGAGGAACGACTGATTCGACGTCGTGGCCCCCATTTGAGCAGCTTTCTGGAGCAATGCGGTGGCCGACATCGTCGCCTGGCCGTGGTGATGCCCCGAGCGGTGGCTGTAGTCTTGAACTCCTCCTCCGCCGGCGGAGGGGGAAGCGAAGTAGAGCGGCGGCGGGGACAAAGAAAGCGACGGTGGCGGCTCGATGATCGCCGGCATTGTCGCCGGGAATTCCGCCGGAGTGAATGTCTGGAGTAGATTGGTGAAAGACGAGCTCCCCGCCGGCGTTGTCGATGTGGTCGTGGTAGTGAATATGCTGGCGAAGACGTTGCTGGTTGAAGTAGTGCACGTGGAGCTCGTGCTGGCAGACGCCGCAGACGCTACGGTGGTTGTCGTCGTCGCGGCCGCTGGGGAAGGCAGGATCACTGGATTCTCTGCTAATTCTGAAACAAGATAGGAATTGATGAAATTGAAGAGAGAGAGAGACGCAATCTAAAAAGGGTACGGTGAAAAAGCAACAAAGGCAAACATGTGGAGAGCAATAATGGCGTCCTTTCCCCTCAAATCGCACTTCTTTCTCCATTATTGTAATACAGAAAGCAGAGCAAGAAAGGTAGCTTTTCGAGATCCATTGCCACTCCAATGTCCACTCATTTACTATCCAGTAATTTTACCACTTCGATCAAAAGCAGAAATGAGCAAATCGAGTTCGACCTGGAACCCAATTCCATTTTCATTGCGGAAACAGTCTGTAACAATCGAGTTGGACTTTGACCTATTTGCTAAGCCTACCCACCACCATTTTCAGCCATTAATGTATCTTATTCTCCAGCGAAAAATCCAAAGAGAACCAGACAATCAATAAGAGACAAAAAAAAAAAAAAAAAGCAGAGGAATATAAAAACTAAAAAGAGTTAAGTAGGTAGCAGAAGCAGGGAGTGAGTAATTAAAAAAACAAAGTCAAGTCTCCACTGAATCAGAGGGATGGCAAAATAAGACCTTTGTCTTTTAATCACTTAACCTCTTGTAACAATCAAAGTTTTTTATCCATATCTGGCAACTAAGCTGGATATACCTGAGCTTTGGATAGAGTTCCCCGGCGACACCACGCTAGTCGACGGTGTAAGTGGTGGAGGCGGTGGCGAAGCCACCCTCACCGCCACCACCGCTGCCGCCGCCGCCGTCTTCTCATCACCATTAGCTGGAAGGTTGTTCTTCACCGTTTGCACATTCGTGGTTCTTATCGTCTCCTCCGCCAGCGCGTCGCAGAACGCCCGGTGAGTGATAAAGCTGTCCCTCCTAAACCCAAAATTAAACAACCTAATCAGATAATTAAGCGAAGATAGAGGGGGAATCAATTAGAATTAAGGCATAGATTAAATCATTATACCGGGAGAACAAAGTGCCGCAATCGCATTTATACTCGCGAGTCCCGCAGGTCTTCATGTGAGCTTTCCAGTCGGACTGGACGGCGTACTTCTTCGAGCACCGCTCGCACTTCCATTTCTTCTCGCCGTGCTTTCTGGAGAAGTGTTTTTTTATTCCGGTTAGGTCGCCGAGGGCTCGGGCCGGGTCGTGGTGGACGCAGGTCGGTTCGGGGCAGACGTAGACCCGCTTGCGTGGCTCCTTGGTCCCTCTCTGCTTCAGCTTCCACGGCAAGTTGTGGCCTCGCCGGTGGAGCTGCAGGTTCTGGTCCCGCTGAAACCCTTTGTTGCAGATCTCGCACACGAATCGGTTCGTCGCCATCAACGCCTTGGGCGATAGCGCGATTACTTCCGCTTCTGGATCTAAAATTGCAAATAGGAAGTGGTTAATACCAAGAGAGAAGGGATTTGAGTGGAATTTTTTTTTTCAATTTGGGGTTCCAGTTCCGACCTGGCATTCCGGGGAGATTCCGCTTCTTCTTCGTCGTCGGCGGCGGCAGAGACGCGAGGTCGCCGAACGAGCACGCGCTGTTCGCTTCGCCGGAAACCGTTATTTGAGAGGAGTTCTCAACCTCCGCCATCGATTCACCAACAATCATCGAGTTTCTCAATTGAATTCTAAGCCAGCAAAGTCGGAGGGGAAATCCGGCGATTTTAGAGGACCAACCGTGAGGAGAGCGGAATCGGAGCAACCGGCGGTTGGTTTTTTACCGATAAGTGAGAATTTCAATGGCGAGAGAAAGACGAAAAAGAGGAAGGAAGAGTGGAGGAGTACGATGATAATAAGCTCAGTTAATGCTCTGTTTGTATGTAGAGACAAAGACAGTCGGTGACTCATCCTCACCGGAGCCTCATCGTGCTTGTTCAGATAAGGCGGCTGAGTTTCTGCTGATAAGAATCCATCCGCCGGTCAGAGAGAGAAAGTGAGAGTTGGGAGATTTGGACAGAGAAAGGAAAACAACAAAGGAGTTCGGGAAGAGGAGGGGAGAAGTTCATAAGAAATTCGGGGAGTTAAAACTTAAAAGCGGCGACCTTGAGTTAACCATGGTTAGAGTGGTGCGGTGAATGCATTTTTAACCATGGTTGAGCTGAGCTGGTTTGGGAAAAAATCTGAAAATACAAATATTAAATTTTGAAATAAAATTAATTCGTACAATATAATACTTTGCGAAATAATTTTCAAATACAAGAGTTTAGAGGAGTTCACTTTAGAATCAAGGAACTAGATAGCAGTTAGTTTGACGCTAGAGCGATCCACATTGGGGCAGGGCCAAATATTAAGCGAACCACTACTTAATTTGCTTGATACTAAAACCAACTGCTTCAAATTCTTATAATTTGTAATTATTTTGCAAAGTATTATATTTTGCGAATTTATTTTATTTATCTTCAATTCAATAGTATGTTTTGGTGCTAAGTGTGTGACCTATGCTTGAGTGTGTTCTGCATTGAAAATATATTTATTTAAAACCAGACCGCCCACGTGGCGCAGGACGTTGCATCCCGACATTTGTATGGGGTAATCACTAATCAGACTAGGAGGTGCTTGTCGTTTTGCGGGGAAAAATCATATTCCCTCTTCATTTTCGGATTCTTTTTTTCCAAACTTTGAACAGGAAAAGACCAAATCGTCCCTTGCCACGCTGGATTATTGCGGGAAGGCGGATAATTTTTTTTCCGTTCAGTTAATTGAGATTTGACTCTCTCACTGACTCACTGTAACAGGCTAACAGCGTCAGATATGACTATATGATCATTTTTGTTAGTTAGCAAATTAAGCTCACCGGCGATGTTCTGCTTCGTCAATTATATTAACTTTGTGTATTATTATTTACCCAAAAAAAAAAGCTTTGTTAATATCAGCCCGGAAGTCCCTAAAAACTAAAACCCCCAACTAAGCAAAGGAGCCAAAGAAGCAGGCTGCCTAATCAGAATATGGAGGCGGAGGAATTTCCGGCACGAGCAACACGTGTAAGAGGATGAAGCCGAAGCCAAAAAGGAAACAGAATCCCGCAGCTTCGTCTTCTACCCAAATATTTTAATCTAATAACGGAACTGCCACTGTCACCGATCAAAACGACAAGTTTGCTCGGTCTTTCTTCTTTTGCCTCTGCCTTCCAACGCAAGGAAAATTATAAATATATAAAAAGACAAAAATCACAATGGCATCACTGCGTGAAATCGCTTCTGTCCCAGGGGTACTCCGGTAATAAACTAGTTACCACGTTTCGGACCTTGGACCTGTTGGTGGTCTAAGCGCTTGACAGATGCTCCTCCAAGTTTTCTTCTGCTTACAGCCTGCTGCAGGCACGTACTCGTTTTCTGCCTAACAGTAATAAGAGAGAGAGAGAGAGAGGGGCAGGCTCACATGCGGGTGAGCTCCACGGTGGCTCCCGTGGGGCAGCAGGGTTGTGATTTGACGACACGATATATATTAGTACGGTTGTTGTAGCCAGCTTGGGAAGTTATCAGGTCCACACTAGCCATATGGTGGAAAATGGTTTGAATCCACCATGATCAGAAAAATGTGATGCGATTGAGTGGGCGGTAACTTAATATTCATACTCTTTTTCATCACGTCGAGGTGGATAATATTAGGGTACGCGACTGGACGAGTCAATCTACTCTGATATATATGTTATTAAAAGAGATTACACGTAAATATTAGTTTTTATGATAAAACGAAGGGAAACGCTTTTTAGAATGGAAATTAGTGATAAAAGAATGGGTGATTGAACATAATTCTAAATAGTTGAACAAAAGTCAAAATATGATAAATATAAACAAATACTGTAAGAAATTGAGATAGAATGGACCAAGAACGCGGCAGGGCGTGTCAGAAGTATATGTCGTAGCCCGTCCCACGCTATTGCTGGTCGGATAATATCCTCCCATCACGAGTTAGGTCGGGTAACCCATCGAAGAGTTCAAATTCTCATCCTTATGCAATATGCACATGAAATCAATTTTTTTAATAATTGACATGTTTTCATATAGCAAATTATGATTAATTTGAAAGAATAACAAATATCAAGCAAAAGTACCCATACTGAAATTTTCTTTTCAAGATGGACAATGATGACATTGTGACAAATTGTTTGGTTTTCTTTTGTTTCTTTTTGGTTTTTGTATGTTGGTACATTGCTTCTATCTTGTGAATTGTGATGTGTGTTTGTGTCTAAGGGGTCGTTTGGAAGTTGAAATTGTTTTGTTGAGATTGTCATTATGTATGTATTGTTTACAATGCATCGTTTTTTTGTTTTTTTAGCAGAAATAATACATGAATTGTTTCTATGATGTGATAGAAACTATCACTCATTTTGAGTGATTGTTATATCTCAACTTTTAGTTATGATTGTTGAGATAGTTGAGTTGAGATTGTTTTGTCTCAGCTTTTAGCTGATGCGACATACACAATCACACATACCAACCGTTGTATTCTACAATGCATCAAATTCGACAACACATGTATAATATTATACATGCATTCTCAACAATACATCTATTTAACTATCGCAACTTCCAAACGACCCCTAAATCAAAGTCTTAACCTTGATAATTTCATACAAATTCAAATCAAATAATTTTTTTAGCAAATATGTCAAACTCTTCAACTTTCCATGTTGTAAATAGTTTTGGTTGCAAGGTTTGATATTAGCTCCATATGTCATTCACACGAGAATTTTGTGAAATAAGTGAAAATTAATTCTGTAATTCTAACTTCAAATTCTCTAGTTGAAAACCAACGATACTACTATTAAATCAATCCTAGATTTGCCGTCCTAATTAGATTTTAAGTAATCCAAGTCAACAACTAATTGTGGCCCTTTTGACAAATTCTTTGAACTTTACTTTATAGTTTGACATAAAATAGCATTCTTTCTGTAGTTGTACTTTGAATTTAAGTTGATTACGTACCACTAAATTTTTTGGTGGTGAAGTGTCACTAATAATTTAAAAAATAATTTAATTTTTGAAATTTAAGTCTGATTAAAGAAGTGCAAACTGATTCGGTCTCGACAAATAATGTGGGTTCCCTTTCCAAAATTTTAAATAATTCATGGTGAACTAAGCAATGCTGACTACCCATAATCAAATTAGGCGTTAAATAGAAGAAATTAGTAGTTCGGGTATAGTGGTTAATTATTATAAAATCATTGATATATTATGTATAGAATCGTTCATATTGCAAGCTAAGTACATGGTTGAATGAGAAAGCAAGATTTAAAAAGTGTCATTAAAACAAAGTTGGCATTTCACCATTTATTGAGGGGTGGAAGTTTGGTTTGCGGGTAACTCGCAAACCAAACCAAATCGCATACTTTGTGGATACTCATACCCACAATTTGTGGATAGCGGGTTGGGTGTGGATAGCAAAATATTGATTTTTGTGGTTAGTGGTTAACCACTACCCACAACGGTTTACCCACAAAACCCACATTAGTTATATTTATTTCTTCAAAATACTTTGTAACCAACATTTACCATATCAGTTGTATTAGTTTGTGAAACTTGAAAGACTAAGAATTAAAGTAGCTACGAAATCAAATACGCCCTTATTCTATAAAACAAAACCAAGTCAATACGCAATGTTCATGTGAGGTTTTAGGATTAATACCCTAGTTTGGCCCGAAGTTTAGCGTAAATGTCAGTTTTGGCCCGACTTTTCTAATAAGACATTTGTGGCCTACTTTGCAAAGTATTGGACAAATTTGGCCCTAAACTTATGTTGACTGTTAAAACTAACGGTCAACTAGTTTTCCATTAGTGACTCAGCATCAAAATGCTGTGGTGAATCACAACTGATTGCCACATCATTTATTTAAATTATAAAAATCAAAAACCAAAAACTTAAAAAAAATAATCTAAAATACACTTTCCAATCTCCACCTAACTCCCTCCCTTCACAAGTAAATCACAACTCAATTCACTCCCCGCCACCCAAAAATAATCCCTAACAATCATCGAAACCCTACCCTCGCTACCCATCTCGCCACCAATCCCATCATTCAGCTACCCGAGCTCCATCTCCCCTACCGTTCTTTTGTTCGTTCGCTTCTGCTGCTGCTCCTTCGAGATCCCGTCCACAAGATCAGAAGCTACTGCTCTCTGCCTTTCCCTATCCCTCTGCTCGTCGGGCTTGTGACAGTGGCTCTACTGCGGAGGCAAAACGGGGAGCGCTAGTGGTGGCGGCGGTGCGACGCGCGTGCATCCTGCGAGCGCGAGGTGCCGAACCTGAGGAAAGGGGATGGATTGCCGATCTCCTTGTCCCGAATTTGCCGATCTCATTGCCGAACTTGTAGGCGGCGGGGCAGTTCTGGAGCAGAAGAAACAACAGAGATGATGGTGACGGCGGCGAGCTAGCTTGGACAGCAACGTCATGTCCTGGGTGGCATCATTGTCGAGATTGTCTCGAACCGGATGTGGCTGGTGAGGCCTTCTCAGGCGGCGGGTCGTGGGTTTAATTTAGTGCGGCAATTTTCGTCAGGGCTAGGGAGAAAATGACGGCGGCGTTGGGTTTATTTGGTGTTGCGATTTGGGTAAGGGAGGATGAGGGGGAATAGGCTGCGGGTTTGGTTTATTTAGGGTTGGGGTTGAGGGTAATTTTTTTTTTATGGGGGTTGGGGGTAAAATTATACAGGGGAGTAAGAGGGAATTTTTTTAATTTGATAATTTTTTATATTAAATTAATAAATTAAAATAATAGTATTTAGTGACGTGGCATGACACATTAGCTATTTTTTGTTGAGTCACTAACGGAATAGTGTTTGACCGTTAGTTTTAACAGCCAACATAAGTTTCATGCCAAATTTGTCCAATACTTTGCAAAGTAGGCCACAAATGTCTTATTAGAAAAGTCGGGCCAAAATTAACACTTACGTTAAACTTCGGGCCAAACTAGGGTATTATGTTTATTTTGTAACATTGTCCGTGTGGTATATGTTTATTTTATAACAAAACCAAGTCCATAGATATAATCAGATAAATTAATCGATAAGCATTGTCCGTGTGGTATATGTTTATTTTATAACAAAACTTCGGGCCAAACTAGGGTATTACTTTTATCAAATAAGCATTGTCCGTGTGGTATATGTTTATTTTATAACAAAACCAAGTCCATAGATATAATCAGATAAATTAATCGATTCGTTAAAAGAGGGGAATAATCGATAAAGGTTAGTCTGATACCCAAACTCATCTCCATTTCTCCACGAACTCAAGAATAACACAACGTGCAACCAACTACCAACAATACAATACTATAAGAGTGGAGAATAATCGATTCATTAAAAGCAGGCACCTCCACTTATCGAGCCACTTTTGTGTTTTGTTGTTGTTGCCATCGGAGGAGCCGTGACATGCAACGATATTTGCTAGTAACAAGTCACTCCGCCTCTCCGTTATCTTCAAATCACTAACCTATTGTATTAGAGATTTATAATTTATTTAACCCTTTATTAAATTTCTTTTATGTATGTTTTTGTTTTTGTGTGAGAAGAATCACAACATCACTATTTAATTACCATATTATTATATTTAATGTGAAAATTTTGTGGGTATCCACAACCAACCCGCAACGGGTAGTGGTTAACCACTACCCACTGTGAGGCAGGTTGTGGGTAGCATAATTCTATATTTGTGGGTGTGGTTACCCGCAAAATGTGGGGCGGGTAACCACACCCAGTGGCGGATACATCGGGACACCCCTAAAATTTGGGAAAACGATTATCCAACCCTCGGTAGTAGTTTCGTATGGATAAAAAAAAAATTATAATTGGTAATCCGGGACACCCTTAAATTTTGAAAAATGATTATCCTGTCATCGGTAGTAGTTTGCGTATGATTAAAAATATATAAGTAGTACTCCGTGCTATTCAAACCTAGGACACTACTATTATTAAACATATTCTCTAGGTTGCAACTCATTAGTTGTTTTATTTTAAACACTATGTTATAGTAATAACACTATTCTTTATTCCCAATTATTTTCAAAACCTAACAATTAAACTCATTCAAGCTATCCTTAATTTGAATTGATTTTATAGGTATAGTGCAAGAGTTGAAAGAGTCTTTCAAGTTTGAGTTACATCAGGAACAATGTTAGAAATTGAATATGCGATTAGTTCAAGAATTATTGTCTAGTATGGTGTATTTGCACTAATAAGATATTTTTTTTTGATTTATGAATTATTTAATTTAATTTTTAATTAAATTTAATTTTTGGAAGAGGACACCCCTATAAAAATTTTCTAAATCCGCCACTGACCACACCCACCCCAATTACCACCCCTAATTTATTCTACCAATATGATCTTTTAAGTTTATTATATTGTGGTTAAAATGTTGAACCAATGAATCATACATTAGGTTCAAACAGTTCGGACCTTTTTACACGCAACTCTAACAACCATGTGGTCCGCTGCTGGCCATCACTACGACAATTGATTGACGATTCTACTAGTCCGAGCAACCAGTCCAATTCAGTCAGAGCTTAATTCACGCCTCAAATTCGAAAGCATTACATTAGAGTGTAGGAATTTGCTACGGTACTTGCAAGTCACCTTGGCTTTGTACTTTTGGAAAATGGTCGACCAAATCTTATTATATCGAGATAAATCAGTTCACGCTTCAGGCCTAACCAAAATTTATGAATTTCTCCCAATTTCCTCTCGGTCTCCATGCGCTTTAGCAAATAGTGAGATTCCTCCTTCATAGTCCTCTTCTCTTCTACCTCTAAAACATACCTACCAGTAAATTCATGTTGGTGTGTGCATCTCATCATCAATTCGGCAAACCTACAAAACAAGAGTCTGACTTCTTCAAAAGAATGATTAATCGTATGGTCATCTAGTATATGTCAATATGTCATAATGCAAAACCAATTGATCCCGTTGACGTATGTATTTTTTTCTTGAATCCAGAAGACCTGTGAAAATAAGCGATCGATTGTAGTTTTCCTTTGATGAAGTTTTGTTGTAAGTGTGTCATCTGAAAGTGGTCGACCATTCTATTCAAATCACGATGACTTGGAATTCAGTCAAGTCACCACGGACATACCGTAAGAGTGTCATACAAACAAAAATTAGAAGATTGTTATTAAATTTATAATATTCATAATTGAACATTTATCAACAACATTGGGACATATATACTAGTTCATAATATGTTATCAATGTTCTATAAAAAATTATGTTGTCAATGCCTTCAATGACCGAGGGGTCTTGTGTTTGAATTCCAATAACGTGACTCCCAATATAATGTTAATTACATGGTATTCAGACCTGTGCAAACTTCATGCTAGTATGAGTTTGCTTTCATTTGAGGAGCGTGTTAATAATGATACAAGTTCCATAATTAAACGTTTATCAACCATTTGAGTTATCGTGAACAACTAATTCTTGACAAAGGTGACAAAAATATTATTGAAATAAGCCGAACAAAAATGTTTTGTTAACTACGGAAAAATTAGTATTAGTCTGAATAGCAATCAAATATGAAGTAGTTGGCAAGATGATCAATTATGCTTTGTTGTCGACCACATAAAGAGTAATAATTGGTGATGGGCTTGGAGCTTATCTTTCAACGACTATAATTATTCCATCATTCTCGCCAAAACCATGATAAGAAGTGTACACTTGATAGTCTTTTTAATAGATAAACACTAGAAATAATTGGAAGGAGGTTAGATATAACATTTATATTGCTATTCGAATTAAATTATGTAGTGCTAATATATATTAGTTTCAAAATCATTTTTAGTGTGCAATATTTCGGTCCGGATTAGATCAAACCATGAGAAATGCAGCTCAATTATAAAAAAAATATTTTAGAACGAAAGATCTAATTATCATTATATTAAATCCAATTATAATTATATTTGAACCAAAGATCTCGTTCAAATACCAAATCAATCATGATTTTTTGGCTGTCTCAAATTTGGATCTGATCGACGAGATAGATCGGACCACCTTGGAGGCTGTTTGTGTCGAGAAGGGGAAAATGACTTGACATAAAACACGATGAGGGGAAAGAATGGCCGAAAGGCGAAGTTAATACAACTATAGTTTTGATGTATAGATATTTAACTATATATAGCAAGATCCTCTTGTGTTTTCTTCCTTTCTATTTATTACCACACCCCTTGTGATGTTGACAATTGACATTTAATTACATGAAGAATTGCAATAGTTAGGTTTAGTGGCACCACTCTCATGACAATTTCATTAAATTACACATTCGTGGTAACCTTGTAAGGGTTGTAACCTTATAAGAGATAGATGCAATGGGTATAATAACCCAAATAAGTGATGCCATGATATTCCCGATGTTTTAATTATTTTTTCCACTAAGGAAGTACTAAATGGATAGTTATTGGTACCTAAAAAAACGAAAAGTTGTTGATGTCACCTCAGTGGCGGATTCAGGAATTTTAAATAGGGGTGTCCGCTTCAAAAAAATTAAAATTAAAATTAAAAATTAAATCAAATAATTATTAAATATGAAAATATTCAACTAGTAAAAGTTAGAATAAAAGTTCAAACATGTTTCGTATTATGAAAGAATGGTAAAATACATTCGGTGTATACACTGCTCAACAAATCTCTCGTAACATATCTTACTAGACAAGGGTAACCCGTAATTGGGTTTAATCGCTAGTTATTGAAAATAATTTGGGATAAAAATAGCCTTTTACTATTATATTTTGATCTAAAACATAACTACAAATGAGTTGTAGTCTAATTGAAAGGGACCGGATACGGTGACAACCCCCTTAGGTGTTGTCAGATTGACAACCAAGGGTATTTTGGGTATGAAAAAAGGAATATATTAATTACCTTTTTTGTATTAATCAGATTGGGAATTAAAAACCCATATTAAATATATTTTTTTTAATTTAAATCCTATACATTAATATCTCTATCTATCTCTCTCTCTCTTTCTTTCTCCTGCGGCCACTCCGCTTCGATAGATAGACTTTTTCTCCGGCGAATTCTCTCCGCCAGACTCCCTCCGGCAACCTGAAAAATGTACCAGTGCATCAAAAAGTGTACCAATCCATTAGTCTACTGGTAATTAATATACCAGTGCTAGTGGTACGCTACTAGTGCGTTAAAAAATGTACCAGTGCTAGTGGTACGCTACCAGTGCTAGTGGTACGGTATCATTACCACTGTAGCGGTACCAGTACCAGTACCACTGGTAGCGGTACCATTGCCACTGGTAGCGTACCACTAGAGACTAGCACAAAAAAATCAGATATGAAATATGAAAAATCACAGATCTGAAAAAAAAAATCAGGAATGACGAAAGGGGGAGGCAGGGGAGAGGCGGTGACCTCATGGTGACGGTTCGGGTTGGATCCGGGCGGCGGCGGCGGCGGAGGGGATTCGTTTGACGTGAGGTTGAGTTTGAGCGGGAGGAGAGGCGGGACGTTAGTGCTGGAGATGAGCTCCGAGGTATTGATGGCGAATTCGGAGGTTTTGGGAGAGCTGGTGGCTGAGTACAGGAAGGGGGCTCACAAGGTGAATCGTAGTGATAGTAATGGTGGTGGTAGAAGGAGTAGATCGATGAAGGTTTGCAGAATTGTGAGAAAGAGAGGGAAGAGATGGGAGGAAGAAGAAGAAGAAGAATAAGAAGAAAAAAGATGGTATGAGAGAGAGAGGAAAGAGAGAATGTAGGGTTTTAGGTATTAATAGGGTAATAATCTAGTGTGGTCAATTTTTTTCGTCCAAAAATACCCTTAATCCAATTTGTACCATTGATTTGAAAAAAATAAGAAAGAGACAAGAGAGAGAATGAATCCTATGGTTATAAAATAGGTTGTCAATCTCACAACCCTAATGGGGTTGTCACTGTATCTCATCCCTAATTGAAACTATATTTACTAATAGTAGTTATGTTCCCAAGTCCAAATCACATAGACCCTATCACTTAAATATTATTTGTACCCATATACAGAATACTATAGGAGGTTGAATAATCATTTTCCATATTTTAAGGGTGTTCCACTATCACTATTTTTTTTTACCCATACACAAACTACTATCGAAGGTTGGATAATCGTTTTTTCAAATTTTAGGGGTGTCAACCTCCATGTATCCGCCCCTGTGTCACCTAGTTATTAAACTAGCTTATTACCCGGCCCGTTGGCCGGATTACTGTATGTTACCCACTTGTGGAATGGGAGAGAAAGCAAGTGAGAGTGAAGGGATTGGGATTCCACTTGATTAAGACCGGCCCACTAATCCGATTCTTCTCGACCCGCCCCAACCTAAAGGGTCAGAAAGAGTCAATAAGAAAATACGAATGGAGAGAATTAGTAATATATCTTGACTCTTCAGAAGTGGGTGAAACAGGATAAAGGTTGGGTGAGGGCAATTTTTAGCGCTAAGCAGAGTTCTGGGTTGAATAACTTTACTTAGGCCTAGAAATTGGTGCTGATGCAGACTGCAGTTTTTATCATACCATCATCAATCATCATTGAATTAGTCCTGGGCATCCCTCCCCGTTGTCGGTCTGAATTTTAATGATGGCTTCATTCCTTGCACCAGCCATATCAGCAAGTTGTCATCTCGAGCATGATTTGCCTATGTACAAATGATACAATTAGAGTATGAAAATGAATTCAAAGAAAAGGAAAAGAGAATTCTATCACATGCCAATAAATACACACATAATAGTTGAAGCTAAGTGAAAGTCATTACTCGCACATCAATTCTCAAAAATTACAGACTAAACAATGGCTAGAATGGCACTGAAACTACCAAGAATCATGGACGAAACAACTTGTCAAATTAAATAATCCTTATACTGAAACTACCTTCTAACT